TCCGTCCCTCCTCCCTCCTCCTCCTCGTCCTCGTCCTCCTCGTCCTCGTCCTCGTCCTCCTCGTCCTCGTCCTCGTCCTCGTCCTCGTCCTCCTCCTCAGCCTCCTCCTCCTAAGTTCTTTTCCTCTGCAACATGTCGACTCATTTCTCTTGATCTCGACTCTCAAAAGTTGTATCCCGCAACTCTCCTCTTCTTTGCTGTTTACGTCAGATCTACATCTCTGTAGCCTTTAATTGACAGTACACTAATTTTCCCGGTTTTCGGAGGTTCTTTGTCAAGTATCAACTGCATTCGGCACATTCCCAGCCGATGCCCACCAGTCTGAGTCGCTGCCCCGAAGATCTTGACATTAGCACAAGCCATCCAAGTGCTCAGCACGTCTACGGAGAGCCATATGGCCCTTCAAGGCCCAGAGTTCTCCGGTCGTCGTTGAAGAAGACAGATTCCATGTCCGAGGGTACAGCCAAGAACGGCAGCGATCCGTTCTACACCCTACAGAGCGCGCTGTCGGTCTTCTCCTGCATTCCTATGTCGCAGTCGTGCAGCTGTGTGTCCTGCCCGATTCACAACGAGGATGATGGGGGCGGCAGGTGAGGAGTATGCTTCTGTCTCGTTGCTCTGACGGCAGCGTCCAGCCATTTGCAAGAAAGCAGCGCCCCGTCAAAACCCGCGATGAGAGGAATGGGCGACCAAAAGAGAAGAGTTTCTTTCACAAGATACCAGCAGATCCTTGAAGAACAACAGAGATGTGTAGAAGTGAGGATAGACGCTTCCCTGCCTCTCCCACTTTGTCCCTGACGTGAAAGATTTCAGCTTCGCTCCATGAACCTGAGTTTTGATCAAGAACACAAGCTGGAAGATGCACTACTACAAGCTGAGCTTGAGAAGAGGTCTTGAGCACATACACATCATGAGTCAGCTGTGTGAGTTCCGTACCAGGCGCAAGGAGAAGAAGGAAACCTTTGACGCTGGAGTGCGACGCCTGGCGCAGCGAACAGGTTGTAACTGTAGACCTGAATTGTTCATCCTCTGATCGTATGCAATTTTTAGGACTGTCAGAAGGAGAGATACGTCGTTCCCTCACCCCCTCGTGAAGCGGAGCAGGAAGGAGATACTCTAGTCAACAGCTTTCAGGTCAAAAGCTCGCATAGTCAAAAGGCAAGATTTGGAGGGTACTTTGCAAGGAAGTTTGAGATGTAAGATGTTGCGATCCATTCGACTTTAAAAATAGCAAAACTTGGAAAAAAGCAAGATAATGTACGGTACAACTATCAATATTCTTGAAGCCATAAGGAAGAAATATTCACATCAGACAGAACTGCAGTCCTTATGTCGTCTGCACGGTCGGGTGAACTTTGATGAGGTTTGTTGATCCTTTTGGCAGCCTTGGCTTTGCTAAGGCAGCAAATGGACACAAGCAGGTGGCACGTTGCGAACAACCAACACGAGGGTTGTTGATGTCAGAATCACGAAGGGCAAATGAAAGAAAAGTCCTGCAAGAACATTGGAGTTCAGCACTTGTTATCAGATTGTTGATTCTCCTCTTACCGTAAAAATACTCCACACTCTCAGATTTCTGGCTTGGGATACAGGGGATCAACGTCATCCAGACAATCCTGTATCTGTCACGAACGATCTTCAACAACTGTAGAATGCTGGAAATGAAGAAATACCTTGTCGATGCGATATTCGATGACATTTCGCTCGGACAGCACGCATCTTTGATGAATACATCATCTTCAATGTGGATGTTGGTGACAAAGGTTCATTGTCTCACCAAACACAACTTCATCGACGTTCTGAACAAACATGATAGCAACCTTCAAATAGACTCATCAGCCTTATGGAAACGAATCAAATAAAAAACACCGTTGATCGAATGACGAGATCGACGGTATTCGCAGTGAGGATGAAATTTGTCCTTCATGTTCACATCAGGCATTGGTAGCCAATGGCTGCATGCAACAAACCCTGAGATGACTATGCACATCCAGGTAGCGAGCTCTGAAAGCACTCCGATGGTGAAGATGATGAATCGTGTGGTACGTGAGACTTCACAAACATGTCACGGTGACTAGACACAATAGCAGGAATCAAAGGAATCAAAGAGCTCACCTGGAATACGTATATTCTTGTCATTAGCATTTGTTCCCCTCTGGAATGAAGTGAACAAGGAAATTTGAGCATGTCGAAACATCCCAGGGACGTTGTTCAACATCAGGATAATGAAAATTGAAATCTGAAAAAAAGTATCATTCTCAAAATTTTCTTTTCGCAGTGTAAGCATACCGCAGCAATCTGCAGTGAGGATGGTATTCTACACATGATCTGATAACACTCGTTCTGTGCGTTACATATTTCCCTGGTCAAGAGCATCAGTAGTTGAGCGCAACGTCAGTCATTCACGTTTTTCTGCTATTGATGGTTGGCAGTGCAAAAAACAATTCCAATGCGAATATCATCTGCAGCATTGCAAATGACTGACGTGTGAAGGCCTTGTTGAAAATCACCTGCAGCACGACGGAAGCGACAAGCATGGGCCCACATTTCAAGACGCCTGTCAAGACTCCACGCTAGAATACCAAAGATTTAGATAAACAGAGACGAGGGGTCGTGTCCCACCTGGATCGCCACATGAATGAAGGCGCCATATGCGTTTTCGGCCTGCAAGACTATCAAGACGATGATGCATTCAACAATCCATTTCAGACCACTGCAACCCATCGCCTCTCTTCATCAGGGTTTGTATCTTGCTCCTGCGTACCCGTCATTGTGATTCTAACTAAGCCTCCTGCATTGCATACCTCTTCAACAGGGATGTCTTGGCATTCGCCGTAACTCGCCCTTCTCCTGCCTCCTTTGGCCGCAAGAAAATCCAAGAAAGCAATTTTCACACCGCGATTTTCATTTGATAGACTGACGATCAACATTTTTAGTTGCAAAGGAAATGCACGTGATTACCTTGCGTTTGAAGCATGCCGCTCCACAGACTTACTCCTGACAGCACTTGATTCTTTGTCTGCGACATTTCCTTCCTCTGAGCTGGTTGTGCTTGCGTTTGCGTTTGCGCTCGCGTTCGCGTTCGCACTGTTTGCAGATTGCTCGTTCTTGAGATAATTCTCAACGAATCATTCATGTCCCAATTGCAAATACCGTATCGTTGTTCGATGCATTGTTTGGAAAGCATTCTTGACCGACACGTGCTTCACATGATGGACACTGAACAATCCCAATTAACATAGACAAAGAAAATGCAAACGCAGGTCGCACACGCACCCTGTGACAATGGCTGCATTGTTGCCTTTCCTCTTTGACGATTTTTCTACACCCAAGTCATCCAACATGAATGCTACCTTGCGCACACCTTATTTCCTCGATCAGGATGGGTCTCAAATTTTCAATGTTGATTCCAATCCAAGAATCGCTAGAACGCACAACAGTTAGCCGTCTGGACCTGCGCTGGGGCACAGACCGAGGGAGAGGTTTCAGATGGACGGACTTGGAAGATCCAAGCTCGTTGTCACTGACACCTACATCTTCACTCAGCCTATTGATTTGATGTCAGCCCTCCATACTGTGAGTCATCGGCTGTCCGGGTAGGCAGTCATCCCGCCTGAGGCACGTAGAGATATTCAGAACTCTCGACCTCCACCAACTCTATGGAAGATACCTCGAAGAAGCCTCGCTCATGTCTGTATGCCCGTTTGATCTCAGCCCTATAAGTCGCCTTCTCCCAGACGGCCCTTGTAAGTCATACAGCCTGCATTCCTACCACAAGTTGTACAACGTTGCATCACTGCCGTTGATCCAAACTCCTTCCTCAATGAAGCTCGAGCCAAGCAGCACCGATCTGCTGGACACAATAAGTTTTGTCCAAACGAACAACATATCAAGTCATTTGTCTCTGCGACTTCGAGACATTCGTCCTTCTCGTTCTCCTACAAACATCTGTCCTACCGTAATTTATGAGAAGAGAAAACGAGATGTTGATTTGGATGAAGAAAACTTTGATCTTAATCGGACATGCCCTGGCCATTTCCATCTTACAAGAAAGAACTCTTCGCTTCATTTCTTGCCGTATAGAAGACTGCATCAGATTTTGAACCCGCTACACTTCTACCCACAGAACTCTTTGCTCTCCTGGCATCAGTCTGTGCTGGCATCAGTCTGTGCTGAGCCACATCATTTGTTAAAGACACAATTAGGCTTCCAATAACATCGAGCACAAACTGCTAGACGATCTCAATACTGCATTAAATGGTATCGAAAGTCATCTAGAAGTGAACTGCGCTGTACTTATCTTACATCAGGATGTAACCAGAACATGGCATGAATGAAGTGATGAATTGATCATGACGACGCAACGTACGGTCACTTGCAGTATGCATGTCAGCTTGTGCATGAGTGATGCCCTCGAGTGGCACGAATGATGTCAATCTGATCAGCTATGTCTTCTTATCAGACTTGTCTGCCCCCCCCCTTTTTCTCATCACCATCGTCGAACAGAAAACTGTCGCCATCGTTGGAATTCACACAACAAACGACCCTCACCACCCCACCCCTACCCATTCAATTCCCTATGACCCTACCCCACAGGTCAGAGTCAAGGTGTCTCACCCCTCCCCCCCTCCTGGCTTCCGCCTGCTTATTCCACCCCACCCTCTGTCCTCTCGTTTCTACCACCCCATGGCTGGGTACTCGAGCGAACCTTCCCCTGTGACTACCCCTTGTCTTGTTGTAGCCACCCCCTTCATTTAGATGAATCGACCACTGAACCCCTAGCATTCATGACTCACCCCTGTATGTGACTCATGACAGAGAAGGTACCGAGTTGGACCCCTCCCCGCCTACTAACCTGTGACTATAGACCACCCCCTCAAATACAACAGAAACGACCCTACATGAAATGCTCGGCCGAAAAACCGACCGGTAGTGAACCCCACCCTACCCTGTCATTAACTCACAGGCTTTCCAACGAAGTTGTGGTAATAAAAACTACCTTACCGCGGCAATGATGGAACCCCACCCTTCATTTCTCCAGCACCTACCCCTACATTTTCCAGGACTGGACCTGTCGCAATTCGGCCGGGTCTTTACAACCAAGTTTTCGATTGCCTCACCCCTCCTTCAGACTACCCCACCCCTTTACCGCCGGTCACTTTGGTGCCTGGCACGGATGGTCGCCGGTAGTACCTTCCTCAAGAAATCATTCAGGACTCCTCAATCAGAGGCTGCCACCCCTGTATATCCCAGTCACACTGATGGTGGGTGGTCCTGCTTGGGGAATCAGACGAACTCGCCGCCCGGGCCCTCGAAATTTTACTCCCCCGGACTCGGCGAACTAAAGTGACGGCAGTGGTGACTAAGTGATGACAAGCCGCTTGAACTTGCCTTGATTGACTGCGGCGCCGCTGATTTTCGAGTCGCGCCCCCGCGGGGCGACCGAGAGCCTCGGACCGTCATTGGATCCAGCGGTGCCGCAGTGTCGAGTATCCCAGCCCGGCCGGGGTTAACCCTGTAACTTCCGGCGGGCCGGCGGGCCCGGGCCCGGCGCGGCCCGCCGCCGGGCCCGGACAGCCGTGCCGTCATCCCGATGCGGCCGGGATCAAGTTCGGAAGTTCGGATGGTCACCAACTGCCGGGCCCGAGTGACCGGCCGTGACCCAGCCGACCCCGGCCCCGCCGGAACTTCCGGCCCGTGACTGTCGGGCCGGGCCGACGGTACCAAGGGGCCTTGAAGCCTGAAGCCTGTCAACCGGGTTCCCCGGCTGAATATGGATGGGGATGTGGTATCGTGTTGTTGGGAAGGGTCACCTGGCACATGACCGGGGTGGGGGGTGGTGACGAGAATCATTATGACCCCTCTTTTCTACGCAATAAGGGGATATGAAAGGGGGTACAAATATGGCGGAGGGGGTAGGTGCTGTGTAGTAGAAAGCCGCCATGTTGTCGCAGCTTTTGATGATGAGGACCGCCGACCTGGTGAGGGAAGGAGGAGAGGAGGAGAGAGAAGAGCATGGAAACATCTGATATAGAGAAAGGGAGAGGAGAAGATTGAGATGTGGAAAGGCAAAACTGGAAGACATGAGGAGGAGGATGTAAGTAGAAGAGAAGAGAAGAGAAGGTCATTTCAACTGTCGGTGGAATCACAACGGTTTCGAATAGAAGGAGAATGTTGGAAGGAATTTAAATTCATTGGATACCGATGACGATGACGATGACGATGACGATGACGATGACGATGACGATGACGATGACGATGACGATGACGATGACGATGACGATGATGACACTCACGATGGTATAAGTTCTGAATGTGTTGATAGTGCTGATGGGTGTAGCTTCAACTTGTTGTTGTCACTACTGAAAATGCTGGTGCTGCTGCTGCTGGTGGTGGTGGCAGCTGCGGTGGCGGCTGCGGTGGTGGTGGTGGTGGTGGTGGTGGTGATGATGATGATGATGATGGTGGTGGTATTGGCTGTTTTTGGCGATGGTAATGGGGAAGTGAGTTATCTGTGATGGCGATCTCTACAACGTGGCGCTTACTAACCTCCTTGCAGACAATGCTGGAGTTCACCGCTGATAACATCCCCAAAGTCCTCGACTGCGGTCCCAGTGCAAACAACGTGAATAGCTCCACTTCCTCTGCGCATGACTAACAATTTTGATTGATTCATAGTGCAACCTTTCCGATGGAGGCCAGTACTTTTAAGTTGTCGACGAGAAACATGCCAAGGAATGCTGGAGGAATGAATGCAGGCAGATGGTTTGTTTTTTTCTGTATGGATCTGTCTTCATTACAAGGGGAAATTTGGAGTATTCACAAACCTGGCCTCCCTCTGAATCAACTCACGTTGCTATCAGAGGGACGGCCAGCATAACAACTGCTCAATCAAAGATGGGTAGATGATGTTTCTTACAGCGATGGGAGCAGAAGATCGATGTACAGTGCTCCCACATCTAACTGTTATGTGTCGGAGTTTCTGTCGTCATCGCTCAAATACTTTGCGTTCCTGTAGGGAGCTCAGTCTAGCCGATTGTGAGGAGGAAGGGATACCTCCGAGACATGTCGTTCCTAGGGAGAGTGGGGATGGAGGGCTCGTAAGGTGACTCGGAGACGTCATGGGTATCGTAGCATTCCATGCAGCAAACCCATCTGGTGCAGAAGAATAAGATGACGTCAACACATTGCATGGAGCTTGCCTGCACTTCTTGCATCCGTACATGGATGTCCCTGCTGGGACTGAGTCGAGACTGCACTCGTCGCAAGCCCAGCCTTCATCTGGGGGCGAGGAAATCAGCAAGGAGAAGATGAGCAAGAGGTGGAAGGGAAGAAGGGAACTGGGACAAGATCACAGAATCAGGAGAAGGAGCAGGAGCAGGAGCAGGAGCAGGAGCAGGAGCAGGATCAAGAACAGGAGCAGGAGCAAGACAGCAAGGGCAGCGGAATGGGCAGGAGATCCCCTGGTGGTCAGTTGCACAAGGTGATGGGGTTAAGGGTGCGCGGGGGAGAGGCTGTGAATTGAGAGCAGGAAGGGATGGACCTGGCGTGCAGATTGGCTTCAATCGGTGACCTAGAGGACATTTTCCGTGCTCGCGGAGAGTTCCGTCCTCACCCATGCCTTGCAGCTGGATCGAGAGTCTGCGAGTGTGTCAGTTTGACCTTCTCCGCCCCCTCCTCCATCCGCTCGTACTGATTCAGCGCCTGCTCATCGCGCCCCTCCCCGTCATTGGCCTCGTGGATCTGAGAGAGCCTGGGGATGAAGAGCTGAAGGCAGTATTAGCAAGACCCTCTCCTGTCTCTCTGACCCATCACTCACGATCTCTTCTCTCTCCACTTCCTCCCTCGGAGTGTCGAAGATCCCCTCAGTGTACATGGCATGCGACTTGCACCTGTGTGAAGTTAGCGACGAGCACGACTATGAAATGCCTCCAACCAATCGATCGAAGCCATGATGTAGACGCAATCGCCGCAGTCGACGATAGCGGAGGGATCAGGGCATGTGTACACGATGGGCAACTAAGCAACATCCGGTTAGCGAGCAGGTCACAGCCAAGGGACGGGAGTGACCGTGTTTCCTTTCTTGGGGTTGATACGGCGATAAATTCCAATGGGAATGGCATCGATCTTAATCATCTCCGAGAAAACCTGAGCGAAAGTCTTGCCAATGATCTCCTTGTTTGCTGGGATCTGTCGACATGTGTCATGCTTGTATGCCGATCTGAAAGAGCGACGTTCACCTTCCAGACTATGGACGAGAATGGGCTCTGGGGGGCCTTACACATTGATTTGAGCAGATCCAAGACTCCTGACAATTTTCATCGTCAGCAACCCCATCACAGACTTTGGGAATCGACGGTATGTGTCATATTCCTGTTCCCAACCTCTCCTTTCTCATCGTTGTCGTGACAAGATAAAAATCTCTTTCACCACCTCTAACGAGGGAACAGACCTGGTGTGTAGTACGCTGCTGCAAAGAGCGAGCTGAACTCAGCTCGATGGACGATCAACCCCGACGCATAGCGGAGGTGAGTTCGAGTTCCCTTCGAGCATGTCAGAGAGAAGAGGAAGGGGAAGAGGATGGCGAGGAGGGGAAGGAAGAGGAGACGAGGCTTACCTTTGACGAGAACGTCGTTTTCACATTGAGCTCCTCAATGGAGGCTGATGCGGAGGTCTTGGACAGCACATCTTCCGACAGCTGCTTGATGTTGGCAGGGACCTGCAGCTCGCAGATGACGGTGGGCATGTGGGACCACAAGGCGCATTGCGACTCGAAGATCGACTGCAGCAGAATCGCGTCCTGATCCATCATAATCGTCTCCGCGCCCCCCCCCGACGCTCCTGACCCTGAGATCACAAGTAGCTTCGCGCACCTGTCAACCCCTGCCCTGATCAGCGAGCGGAGCTTCAACGGACTGCCTTGGATGTAAACGACATTTGTGTGCTCGGCTAAGAACTCCAGGATCTTTGAGCTGACTGGTCGCTCGTAGAGGATGGTGATGGGGATGGAGGTCATGGGAGTGGGAAGAACCTGGGTACGTAGCTGGCGAACAGTGGAGGTGATCTGAGGAAAGAGGGAGCCAGTGTTGTCCAGCCCGATGATGACGATGTGGTTGCCCCTCTTCACGATCTCTTCCTGGCACTGGGGAAGTGAAACAAACTGTGCACGTAAGTAAGAAGCGGCAGCATGAAGAGGAGGAGGAGGAGGTCGAAGGAGAGGGGAAGGGGGGGAGAAGGAAAAAGAACAAGATCGGAGGAGTAAAGGAGGCGCTGATGTGGAGGAGAAGGAGAAAGGATGAGTGGGTGAGGTTGGGGCGGAGAAGAGTCCTTGCTGCACAGTGCTTCTCACCTCCTCTTCCTCAAACAATGCATCGGAGCCACTGGGAAGTGGTTGGACCGGCTTTTGCTTCTTCTCCTCCTTCTTGATCCGCGGGTACCCGAGTCGACCCATAGCACCTCCTCTCGGGATCCCAGCGCGACCCACAACTCCGACAGGCATCGCCCCCCCCCTCTTACTGGTAGCAGTGCTCTTGGCAACGCTACGGGTTCTGGATATGTAAGCCGTCTTTCTGTCATCCTCCTCGCCATCAGCCCCGAAGTTTCCCATCTCGTTCCCGACGTCGTTGAGCTCCGACAGGGCGAGAAGCGCTGGCCGAGACATGGTCGCTGCGATGCGCCGCCTCTCAGTCTGAACCTGCTCGATCGCCGCGTTCCTGTTGTTCTCGTATGCTATCAGCCAATCCCTCCCCTCGTGCCTCCGGATGCTCTCCAACGAATCCTCATCGTTGGCGATGCAGAAGAACACGGTCGAGTCCTGCACGATGAACCGACTCCCAGGATTCATCACAACCTGCCCGTCTCGATCTTGCGCAGCTATCAGCATCACACCGCAATCCTCGTAGACTTCTCGAGCAGTCTGGCAGAAGTCCTTCCCCGTGTAAGACTCCCGCAGCTGCAAACCATAGAGCTCTTTGCTGGCCCCGTCCATGTACTCCTCGAGCCAAGCATCTTGCGGCTCGTACTCGTCCAGCCCTTCGATGTCTGGCAAGGCAAGGTTGATGATCATGGTGCTGAGCCCAACACACTGGCAGGAGGAAGCGATGGTCGAGATCTCGAGATCGTCCAGCCCGCAGCACATACTCTCTGGGATGCCAGCCTGCACTGCGTACTTGATGTGCTTGGCTTCCATCATCATCACTAGCATGGGAGTCTTGTAGATACGGTATACAGCAGCTGCTCTCACGATGTTCTGCAGATCCTCCCGCATCGGGTGGTTGTTGAGGTCGGCGAGCACGAAACAGATCTCGACCTGCCACCAAACTTCACTCGTCTGCCACAGGAGGCACCAGCAATGTTACGTTGCTGATCCTTGCCCTCTCCAAGTCTGCCACAGAGGCCGGGCTCCCCCACAGGTACTTGATATTCGCCCTGGTCGCCCACCTTGTGTTCAGCAGGGCCACCATCTCCTCCTCCGGTCCTTTAGGGGCCATCAGGACCACCTCCGGCACCTTATCACCTTGACTCACAAGCATCAGCTGATGTCCTTGACAAGGATCAACGTCTCACCATGTGACGAGCTGACGAGGGACAGCAAGAAGGATTCCAGCACACTGATCGAGCCGCTGACCACCCCTCCCCCGATGACCAGCACGTGCTTGGCCTTCGGGTTTCTCGGCGTGAACTTTCCCTTTCCAGTCGCCGACAGCTGTAAAAGCGAAGAGCTGAGAACAATTTCTCAGCTCAGCCTCCCAGTACCTTAGCAATGGCCATTATGGTGCCGGTCTCAATGGAGAAGAACAAGACGCCACCAAGAATCACTGCGATCACAAAGAGCCGTCCAAGGACGGTCGACGGCGCGTAATCGCCGTACCTGCATGAGAGGCAGGCATCAGGCGTACAACGAGAGAGCCAGTGTCTGCTTACCCGACAGTTGAGATCGTCACGAACGTGTAGTAGCACATGGTCATGAAGGAGGTGCTCCCCATGCCCGTTGACAGCTCCTTGTCGCTACCTCCGGGCAGGTCCCCTTGAAGGAGATCAGAGAGAAGGAGGGGAGCAAGATGCCATTCTTCACCGAGAGTTTCAAACACAAACATAGTCCCAGCAAAGAAGATGACAATAACAATGAATTTGATCAAACTTCTGATCATAGCTCGTGTAAACTCCTCCATCTGTTGAAGTCATCACTTCCGAAGGATCACGCCAGGTCGGCTTCAACTCTCTCACCTCGGACATAATGCTGGAATTCTCAATCTCTCTCCACGTGAATAGTACCCTCACTGCTCGAATGTAGGAGAACGTGACCTGGAGGCAACCCATCAGAGTCGTTCCTGGAGCCATTCAGATCGAACCCAAGAAGGGCGGGGGCATAGATCCCCGCAGTAGGAGAAGCCGCCTTCCCTGGTCGGATGTCAGAACTCCAGAGCAGCGTAAGGGCTTTTACTCACTGTAGGAAGAGTGGGACCACGGTGAAAACGTCTATCAAGCTGCGGGAGGAAAACGTGTGCATCGGGTCGAACTGGTATCTAGCAGCATCCAGCAAATGGGCGAACATGTAGAATATGTTGATGACGAATTCCAGCCAGAACACCTGCCTCTGTCTTCAGGGCATTGCGAGCGCCTCACAGCTGCCTGACCCCAAATGGTACCCGGAACATGTACGTCTTGTATATCCATAGGATCACCTGCATCCAGCGACATCAGAGTGATGAGCTTGCCTGCCAGGGTTCTCACCGTGATGATCGACAGGCAGAACTGCAGCAAGTTTCTGCAAACAAGATGCAAAGTGATCAAGTGCGAGAGAAAGTGAACGCAGGTCACATTCGAGTTTCAAACTCCCGGAAGATGGGCTCCTCTTCAAAGTGTCCTATCCACTTGCCTGACATGGAATGTGAGCGCGGAGACGAGCATGGCAGCGTCTCTTCTCACGGATGAACTTCTTCACAGGCTCTGGTGATTTGACAAAGAGGGGTTGCATGCAGCAGCTGAAAAGGAAGACGCCCACCAGCACAATAATGCTCCACAGCACCTGTATCAAGACTGCTGCCCACCCTGTCCCTCCAACCTCAGAGAGTGTTGGGGGCGTCAGGAGGGATTGTTGCTTATCTACCATCTCCGCCTCTCTGAAAGGGGTGCAGAAATTCAATCAAATTGATCCAAGGAATCTCGCCGCATCAAAGCATAGCCATGCACCTGTCAGATGGACATCAAACCGGTTACCACCGTTCCAACATCATCCTTCCAAGCTTCGAACCATCCAGCACATCCACATCATTGATAAGGAGAACGGATTTGTTCATGTCACTCCAGTTGCTGACGGCAAGAACCAACTAAAAACATTGCTTTGCCATTCTAGTCTCTCGCACTGACACAAGACACAGCTATGACAGAGAAGGAGAATTCACTTCACATCGAAGCACATCTAGAATATTCAATGCTGTGGCATGTTCGCGGGTCGGGTCAGCCGAGTCCTCCACGAACAAGACAGATACATTCTGAGGAAGAACATTCCAGCCATCTCTGAACGAGAAAGAGGTCAAGGTCTACTCAAATCAGACTGGCATGTGGCACATCCCCTTGGAAACTGAACAATCAACCATACCCGTCGCTACCTCCTTCCTGTCGTCTCCTCCCCCCCCCCTTCCCTCTCTCTCTTCACCTTCTCTCACATTTTCCCCTACAGTGCTTTGCCCGCCATTGGCATTCCCAAAATTCACACAGAACCCTACCCCCCCCATTGCCTACACACACGCACAGCAGTGACGACCCACCCCTATTCTTTGTCGTACCCCTAATGCCCGTAGATCAATCCATATAATTTGTACCCCCACCCCCTCTGTTTCCAGGTTGATCGCACATCCACCCCTATCAAGTACGAGTATTTCCATCATTCTCCACTATCGAAAAGCGAACACCTCACGGCTCTTGAACATGGACCTTGGACACCCCTACTTCCACCACCCACGTGGTGTATACCACCCTAAGTTTTTGAACAACCACCCCTCCTTTTGATTCACGACAAAGGATATTGTGGCATCATTGGTGTGACCGGGCCCGGGTCCGGGACCAACGGCCGGAGCCCGGGAGTCTGCGAGTCACTGAGAAAGTTTGCTTTCAGGAATGCGGCAAAGAAACTTGATAATGCAGCAGTAGCTGGAGCAGCGGCGGCGGCAGGAAGACAAGCGGGAGGTAGGAGGAAGGATTTGAGACGCATCACCTTGGACCAGGATCACAGATCTGCAGGGAGGAGATCGCGGGGTGATGATGCAAGTTGAAGCTTGCATCGACACGTCTGGCATGGGCAAGTAGGATCCTTGAGAAGCTTCTAGCTCAGATCGGAGATGGGAAGGCTGGGGATTCCGAGGATGAGACGCTCGTTCTTAGTTGGCATGGTTATGACCCTGCACCTCCTCGTGCTGAGAGCGCAAGAGGCGCACGAAGTGTCTAGAGTTCAGCACCTGGTCAACATGGCAGGGCTGGCAGCAAGCCAGAAACGGTACGGGGAGGCAGGTGCCAAGTACAAGGAGGTGTAAGGTAGGGTGTGAGGTGAATCTAGGCTGAGAGTGAGTGCAGGCGGCATCACTGATGGGGAGCGGTGTGAGCATCCAGCTGCAGCTTCGTATGGGAGATGTCTTCATGTTCACAGGTGAGACGAAGCTGCTTCATCCCAGCATGAGCCGATCACTGACTTGGACGATCGTACTAGGGGATTTCGAAGAGGCGCGAGGAGCGTATCAAGTCCCGTTCATGATTGATCGGAGGCAGTCGCGAATCAGCCTGGAAGACTGGGTTGCTGTTGGTACGAGGTTAGCTCTTGCAGCAGATTTTACCAATCAGGTGCGGATGATGCGAGTTTAATGTCTTTGCTAACCTATTCCCCGCAGACCAAACTTGCCATGTCAGCTCTAGAAAATATTTTCGTAGCATATTTCACTTCTCCTGACTCGATGGATCTCCCTCTACTGCCTTTTTGCCACCTCTCCGACCTTCTGAAATCAAAATCTGCCGATGAGACGAGAGGGTACAGGCTCAAGGAGATCGTCCTTCAAGTCGTTCTGTTTACAATTCACAGGATCAGCATGAATGAGAATGGCGCGAGGCTCTTTTCGATTTTGAAGAAGCTTGCCAGTGAGCATCTGGTAATTTGCTGCTGTTGCTGCTGCTGCTGCTAAACCAACATGTTTCTGTTGCTGAGTTCGAAGCAGTTGACAACCAGAGCATTTCAACGCTATGATCACCTCAGGAGTCTATCAGAGCTGACAAGAGAGGATCCGAGGAGCGAGGAGCTCTTGGATTGTCGTGAAGCTGAGACCATACGGTCAGGACCCAACATCAATGTCGGCGATGTCTTGACTCTGTCACTTGCGCAGATATGATGACATTGAATCGATGAGCGGACTGATGGCTCGGTATTCCGCCTTTCATCGCCGGTCGGTTGCCTGCTGCCGATCGAGGGCTCCGAGGTTTCTCATCTACAGGCAACGTCGCATCTCATTTCACACGAGGTTTTTCTGAGTGTCTTTGTAGGCCATCGGAGGTAGGGGAAGGGTGGGGGAACCGCGTTCTCAGCCTCTCTTCCGCCTTCATCTTCGCGGTTAGGACGAGCAGGTTGGTCCAAATCTGAGTGAAATCTTTGTTTCGACCTTCTCCTTGTGTTCTCGTCATGATGATGATGACGGTTGTGGTTGTGGATGTGGTTGTGGTGGAGAAACCGGATACAATGGAGTCGTTGATGCTTGTAGAGATCGATGTGGGTATCATCGCTTACATATTGATTGATGATGGCTATCGTCAATGAGAAACATCGTTTCAGGGTTTTTCTAGTCAACTGGACGGAGCCGTCAGAATTGAAAGAGCTTCTCCGACGTCCTTACGGTGAGGTCAGGGAGTAGCAGAGGCTTCTTGGTGTGATGCCTGCCATGTATCAAGATTTCGATTGGGACTTTTCTTCTGCAGTGAAGTCTTGCAACGAAAAAGCTATCTCTTCTGATGCAGGTGGTTGTTTTCTATCGAGATCTTATCTTTCCTTGCTTTTTGCTCCCCTGCCATAAGGTGTTGACGTTACTGACAGACAAGTTCGAGATAGAAGACGTTTACAAGGAAAGGTATGTTTCATGATGCCCATGACAAGAGATGACCGTATCGAATGTTCTCAATACAACAGCGGAGAGGTTCTAAATAATCAGTTATCGACCACTCTCATCTACTCAAGGTGATAACAATGTCTGTCCCCTTCACAATCCCAGTCTTCACTCTCTTTGCAGTCTGCACGACCTTTATCGCCCGGTAACGAGGAGCTGGTCACCCCCTGCGAGCTCGATGATGATGCAGACATTCAGATCCGATCGCTGCGAGAGTTCGACAAGCTAAGGTTTGACAAGCTTTCTCAGTGTTTTAGAGGGGAACTGACAAGTCATCTGTTCTGTCAAGGTATCTCTGCCATCAAGAGCTCAGAGGGCTGGACAACGTCAGCCAACCTCTCTCAAAGTGGCAGCTGTTTCGATGTACCTCTAGGTTGAAGCCCCGAGTCCTCCGACCTCTGACTAACCGCCTTTCAGCTTCTTGTTCAGGCCTTCGCGAGCGATTGCCGACAGTCTGCGTGTAACAACACTTCATCCCTCCCCCAACCTGTGCAGCCAACCGCTTGAGACGCCTCCGTTGTCCTCCTCTCTCTACCGCACTCCTCGTCTTTGTCCTTGTCCTTGTCCTCCTGTTCCTCGTATCCTCGATGTTCTCTTCTTCTTGACCTCTGCTGCTCGTCATGAGATCGTCGGTTTTATTGCAGTCAGAACTTGGCGCTCGTATGGACATGTTGGGTCGAGGCATCACTATCAGCGCTGCTGTGAGGCTTGGCTCCAAGAGCACAAGCTACTATCCTGTTCTCAACAAGGTTGTTTCATCCATCCCCTCTCTCTCTCTCTCTATCTCTGTCTCTGTCTGTCTGTCTGTCTGTCTGTCTGTCTCTCTCTCTGTCTCTCTCTGTCTGTCTGTCTGTCTGTCTGTCTGTCTCTCTCTCTCTCTCTCTCTCTCTCTCTCTCTCTCCTCTCTCTCTCTCTCTCTCTCTCTCTCTCTCTCTCTCTCTCTCTCTCTCTCTCTCTCTCTCTCTCTCTCTCTTTCTCTCTCTCTCTCTTCTCTCTCTCTCTCTCTCTCTCTGAGCCTCTTCCTTCTGTGTGCCTAATTCACTGCTTGGCTCCTTGCTGCTGCCGCGCCTCCGCCGCGCCTCCTCCTTTCCGTGTCTTCGCCCCGCCATTGTAACCCTTCCTTCCCGCTGCTTCTGACGTCCTTGGTGCAGGCAGGAGAAGAGAATTTCCTGCGATGTGTTCGCCTTCTCCTGGACGCTCACGGGAGTAGAGCGTCGTTAGCGCTGTACTCCGACTCTCCGGAACTTCGACGAGCGTGGAAGGCGAGGTTCCAACGGAGGTTCGATCCTGCTCATCGCCCTTCCTGTTTCCTTCTCCATTCCGCTGATCGCTAACGAGTAGGTCATGGTTTCCCAACAGTACCGTCGAGTACAGCGGAAAGCAAGAAAAATTTCAAAGGTCAACCCTGTCGTCGAGGCGAGGCATTATGGTGCCTGCCCCTTGCCCTGCCCCTTCAACTGCCCCCGTCTCTGTCTCTGCCCCTGTCTCTGCCCCTGCTCCTGCTCCTGCTCCTGCCCCTGCCTCTGTCTCTGTCTCTGCTCCTGCCCCTGCCCCTGCCCCTGCCCCTGTCTCTGTCTCTGCTCCTGCCCCTGCCCCTGCTCCCATCCTTGTTTCTCTTTTCTCGCTGAGTGGCGCAAGTCAGGATGCTGTGGTGGAGTGGTTTCTCATAGGAGAAGCTGACGACGCTGTGCTCACCTCCGGCTCGACGTTCGGACAGACGGTGAAGGAGGACGAGGAGGAGGAAGAGAGTGAGGAGAGCACCAGGCGTGGGCTCGGACCATGAGGACGAAGCCGATTGAGGTTGACAACTTCGATCGAACATGCTACAGGAGGTAATGGGCATATATGTCCTTTGGTATGAAAATGAGATAGGAAAGGCATGATGGACAGTACGGTGGTGATGGATCAGATGATGATGAAGATTGAGATGATGATGATGGAGATGGAGATGCAGATGCAGATGACGAAGAGGAGGAGGAGGAGGAGGAGGAGGAGGAGGAGACGATTGTGGAAGATCTCACAGATCTTACAGGTTCGAGCAAGAAGCAGAGACAGTGTGGGATCGGGCATGTTGTTCGCGGCATAGCGGGCGATGTCCATCAAGTTGCCTTCTTCATCCTTGACAGAAAAACACTCATCATGTCTATGATACAATGTTTCATCATGTCTGCTGTAAACCATCTCGTCACGCCTGCTATTTTCAAAGTTTTCCTCTTGGTTCATTTCGAGACTGAGACCCTCTGCATCGCAATCAACACTTCTGCCAACTTGCAGTCTTCACTCGACATGCCCGACGACGGACTTGTCTGCACATGATGTCCTGATGGAGTTTGAAACCAACGTCAACTGCACATGGCGCAAGGCCCTGTCATGCAGACCTTGGAATACTTGTGGCATCACTGTTGAAAGATGAAGATCATCAATAGCTATCCACGCGTCATAGCTGTTCGCACATGTCAACATCACATCTCAATGTCAGAGCAGCTCTTTCCTTCCTGCATTCTCTCGCAACCATTCTTCAATCTCCCTCCCACGTGTCAGGCAAACGGCATCTGCCTGCTCCAAGTCATCGCTCTCGAATCTTGCTTCAAATGTCATTGCTTTCCTTGTTTTCGTTACTGCCATAGTCTCCCCCCCCCCCCCCGGCCCCTTATTCATCCCCCTCCTCGTTCCTCACAGTTTCTCTTCCCCATTTCTCCCAGTCTAAGACGTTTGTCGCCTCCAAGTCCGTCATCAAACCAGCCAACCAGAAAGTCTGCACCAAACAGTTCACATGCACTCCGTCCTTGCTCGGCATCCTCCACACCTGCTTGATTTTCTGCTTTAGCCTGTCGTGGATCCTCCATGTGCTGCTCAACACGATTCGAGCGCTAGCTCTGGGAGCGCGTGTCAAGGGCCCTGCGCTGATCCCAAGTGTACACCTCCTCACCTTCTCACGAACCCCACGAATCGGTGAACCAGCTCGGGCTCCTGCTCCTGCGTCACTCTCGTAGCGAGAGGAGAAGAAATATGTCCGAAGTAGTACAAGCATCTCGGAGCTGCTCCTCTCCGTGTTCAGCACTCCATCTATGTCCAGGAACACGATGACCCTGGACTTATCCTCTGCCGGCCCACCTCGTTGGTGCTGTTAGGCCTTGTAGCGCCGCAGGGTCGCATACCTTCATGGGCTCCTCTCCTCCTCCTCTCCTCCTCCTCGAGATCCTCCTCCTCAAGCCCCTCCAGGGAGCCGCAACTCTCGCATACATCCTCCTCCACCCGCCCCCCGCATAGCGGACAGGAGCGTGCTCTAGCCCCAGCCATGTTTCCGCTCTTTTTTAGTCAAGTGGGGAAATCAATGCAATAATTGTACACATGGAGGCAAAACTCGAGTCGGCCTCAGGCCAGCATGAGAAGGTTGAGAAAGACAGCAGCTACTGTAATATCCCCACCTCCTCGAGTCGGCCAATAACACCGTACCGTTGTTGAGTAAAGAATTGCCACAAACTTGGTTTTCCCGCGCGACCAGGGAGGAAGGAGTCAGGAGGGAGGAGGCAAGAGGAGGGAGCAGGAGGGAGCAGGCAAGAGGAGGAGGAGGCAAGAGGAGGGAGTAGGAGGAGGCAGGAGGGGGGTCATTGGATTCACTTGCGGCTACGGCGCAGTTGAATCTACTTCAGTGAGCGCCAGAAATAAATTCTTGCATGCGAATACTTAGTACTATCAAGAATGTCCTGACCCATGTTGCAGGCGGTCAGATCATGGCGGGAATGGAAGAGAGCGATGGGCCAAAGGCTGGAGATATACATCGAGCTGCCTTCTGCATCAGACCTGAACAAGACGTCGACCTGCATTATATCTTCAATGGAATGATGGAAGATGTCAAATCAGTGGCAAGCAGCAACCAGGAGTCCTTCTATGACGTGCACGTGAAGCGAGGAGAATACGTCTGCTTTGAGATGTCGCAAGATATGCACAAGATCCTGACCAAGATTGTTCAGCTCTCACGTCTGTATTCTCCCGGAGGATTGAAGGACCATTTTCTTGGACGTCAAGCGAAGATCAGGGCCTTTGGTGTCATCGTGAGCGGAGATAGGAGAGAGTTTGAAGATCTTGGTGAGAAAGTCAGAGCTTTCTTTGTGGAGACGAGCAAAATTCCAAAGTTGTCCAAGAATCTGATCGATCAATCGATCCCGTTCTTCCTCTGTCTAGTAAACCATGAAAATCTCTATAGTCAGGTAACAGATCTGAAACTGTCAGTAGAGGATCTCAAGGATTCGATGGAGGTAATGAGCCGCAGAGCGCTTTGTTGTCTTGTTGCTTTTGAAGCTGATTATCAACCTCGGATCATGGTAGGAAAGATTTGCTCAACAGCAGGGACTCAAGGAGTCAGTGGAGGATCTGAAGCAGTCGATGGAGGCAATGCAGGAGTCAATGAAGGTAACTTTGTCTTGTTTCTTTTGAAGAGACTGATTATCAACCTCGGATCATGAAGGTAACTTTGTCTTGTTTCTTTTGAAGAGACTGATTATCAACCTAGGAGATGAAAGGTCGCATTGTAGAAGAGCTCAAAGAGCTGCTCTAAGGTCTTTTGCCGCAATCATCGTGACTCTTGTCGGCAATCTTTTCGTCCGTCTTCGTTCCTAATAGGCAGCCGATGATATTTTAGTGTGATTTTTCTTTTTATTATTTTCTCTTCTACTAGCGTAATGAAACTGTTGCAACAATAGTCACCGGAGTCTAGAAGGGGAGGAAGGAACGAGGCCGGGAGTCACAGGGAAGGACAGGGGGCCTGAGAATAAGACAAGAAGCGCCTGCGCGGGGTCTCGACCAACCTTGCACTTTCTCTGAACGCAGGTCACCTTCGAGTTTCAAACTCCCGGAAGATGGGCTCCTCTTCAAAGTGTCCTATCCACTTGCCTGACATGGAATGTGAGCGCGGAGACGAGCATGGCAGCGTGTCTTCTCACGGATGAACTTCTTCACAGGCTCGGGTGACTTGACGAAGAGGGGTTGCATGCAGCAGCTGAAAATGAAAGACGCCCACCAGCACAATAATGCTCCACAGCACCTGCTGCCTACCTTGTCCCTCACTCCAGTTGCTGACGGCAAGATCCAACTAAAAGCAGTTTTCCATTCCAGTCTCTCGCACTACACAAGATCCACGAACAAGACAGATACAGTCTGAGGAAGAACATTCCAGCCCGTCTCTGAACGTGAAAGAGGTCCAGGTCTCCTCAAATCAGGCTGGCATGCGGCACATCCGCTTTGTAACTGCACAATCACACATACCCATCGCTACCCTGCCCCTGCCCCCGTCTCTGTCTCTGTCTCTGTCTCCGCCCCTGCCCCTGTCTCAGTCTCTGTCTCCGGCTCTGTCTCTGCCCCTACCTCTGTCCCTGCCCCTGCCCCCGTCTCTGTCTCTGCCCCTGCCTCTGCCCCTGCCCCTGCCCCTGCCCACTGTCTCTGTCTCTGCCCCTGCCCCTGCCCCCGTCTCAGTCTCTGCCCCTGCCTCTGTCCCTGCCCCTGCCCCTGTCTCTGTCTCTACCCCTAAGACGTTTGTCGCCTCCAAGTCCGTCATCAAACCAGCCAACCAGAAAGTCTGCCACCGACAGTTCACATGCACTCCGTCCTTACTCGGCATCCTCCACGCCTGTTTGATTTTCTGCTTCAGCCTGTCGTGGATCCTCCATGTGCTGCTCAACACGATTCGAGCGCTAGCTCTGGGAGCGCGTGTCAAGGGCCCTGCCGCAGTGCGCTGATCCCAAGTGTACACCTCCTCACCTTCTCACGAACCCCACGAATCGGTGAACCAGCTCGGGCTCCTGCTCCTGCGTCACTCTCGTAGCGAGAGGAGAAGATATATGTCTACAAGCATCTCAGAGCTGCTCCTCTCCGTGTTCAGCACTCCATCTATGTCCAGGAACACGATGACCCTGGACTTATCCTCTCCCGGCCCACCTTGTTGGTGCTGTCAGGCCTTGGAGCGCCGCAGGGTCGCATACCTTCATGGGCTCCTCTCCTCCTCCTCCTCTCCTCCTCCTCGAGATCCTCCTCCTCAAGCCCCTCCAGGGAGCCGCAACTCTCGCATACATCCTCCTCCACCCGCCCCCCGCATAGCGGACAGAAGCGTGCTCTAGCCCCAGCCATGTTTCCGCTCTTTTTTAGTCAAGTGGGAAAATCAATGCAATAATTGTACACATGGAGGCAAAACTCGAGTCGGCCTCAGGCCAGCATGAGAAGGTTGAGAAAGACAGCAGCTACTGTAATATCCCCACCTCCTCGAGTCGGCCAATAACACCGTTCCGTTGTTGAGTAAAGAATTGCCACAAACTTGGTTTTCCCGCGCGACCAGGGAGGAAGGAGTCAGGAGGGAGGAGGCAAGAGGAGGGAGCAGGAGGGAGCAGGCAAGAGGAGGAGGAGGCAAGAGGAGGGAGCAGGAGGAGGCAGGAGGGGGGTCATTGGATTCACTTGCGGCTACGGCGCAGTTGAATCTACTTCAGTGTGCGCCAGAAATAAATTCTTGCATGCGAATACTTAGTACTATCAAGAATGTCCTGACCCATGTTGCAGGCGGTCAGATCATGGCGGGAATGGAAGAGAGCGATGGGCCAAAGGCTGGAGATATACATCGAGCTGCCTTCTGCATCAGACCTGAACAAGACGTCGACCTGCATTATATTTTCAATGGAATGATGGAAGATATCAAATCAGTGGCAAGCAGCAACCAGGAGTCCTTCTATGACGTGCACGTGAAGCGAGGAGAATACGTCTGCTTTGAGATGTCGCAAGATATGCACAAGATCCTGACCAAGATTGTTCAGCTCTCACGTCTGTATTCTCCCGGAGGATTGAAGGACCATTTTCTTGGACGTCAAGCGAAGATCAGGGCCTTTGGTGTCATCGTGAGCGGAGATAGGAGAGAGTTTGAAGATCTTGGTGAGAAAGTCAGAGCTTTCTTTGTGGAGACGAGCAAAAGTCCAAGGTTGTCCAAGAATCTGATCGATCAATCGATCCCGTTCTTCCTCTGTCTAGTAAACCATGAAAATCTCTATAGTCAGGTAACAGATCTGAAACTGTCAGTAGAGGATCTCAAGGATTCGATGGAGGTAATGAGCCGCAGAGCGCTTTGTTGTCTTGTTGCTTTTGAAGCTGATTATCAACCTCGGATCATGGTAGGAAAGATTTGCTCAACAGCAGGGACTCAAGGAGTCAGTGGAGGATCTGAAGCAGTCGATGGAGGCAATGCAGGAGTCAATGAAGGTAACTTTGTCTTGTTTCTTTTGAAGAGACTGATTATCAACCTCGGATCATGGTAGGAGATGAAAGGTCGCATTGTAGAAGAGCTCAAAGAGCTGCTCTAAGGTCTTTTGCCGCAATCATCGTGACTCTTGTCGGCAATCTTTTCGTCCGTCTTCGTTCCTGTTAGGCAGCCGATGATATTGTAGTGTTATTTTTCTTCTTATTGTTTTCAAGTTCTCTTTTACTAGCGTAATGAAACTCAGTTGCAACAATAGTCACCGTAGTCTGGGGTAACTTCCGTAGAGAAGTGATGTGACGACTCTGAGGATGTGGCTCTCGACCAACCTTGCACTTTGTGCCTCTTCTCAAGCTCAACTTGGCAAGTTCATCTTCACCCGGGCCGCATCATGGCCGAAGTCAGCGCATCTTGTCAGCGGATGTCACGGCCGCCCCGGCCGGGCGCACCAGCGGGTGACCCTCAGGCTTGCCACGGTCTGCAGGATCGGATCGACGCTCAGTACAACTCAACACTGTCATCGGGCCCCGGCTCCGTGTGAAGAAGCTTACCGTTCAGGTCAGCCTCAGACTGTAATTCAAAACGTTTGAAAGACAGAAAGATTGATTTAGTCCTTATTCACACTTCCTGGTGAAGCTTCGTAGTTCGTGCCTCAATCACCCCACCCTCACTTTTCCACCATACATAGAATTTCTACCCTTTACAACATTGCATTACCCTACCCATCTTTTATGCTCTCAAGTACCCCACCCTCATATTTTCGACATACTCCGGGGACTTACACCCCTTTGAAACCCTGCCTTCTCCTGCAACAGAGTACCCACCCTGTCGGAAAACTTCATTTCTATCACCCACCCCAGTCATCAAAATTCCATAACCCCACCACCTTCCAATTCAACTACCCCCCCCATTCTACCGTAACTCTAGCTAATCCGCGCACAACACCTTACCCACCTCCTCCTCCAGCATTGCGATACCACGGTATGCACCTCCCCTTCCCCCGACTTCCCCGTCCTCCCTGCCAGCTCTTGATCTTCGGAACATGCTCTGACCTCTTTGCTCTGACCTCCCTCTCTCAATCTTCTTTCACCATATCGGATCATGCTCTGACCTCTTTGCTCTGACCTCCCTCTCTCAATCTTCTTTCACCATATCAGATCAATCATGCTCTGACCTCTCTGGTCTAACCTCACTCTCTCAATCTTCTTTCACCATAGCAGCGTTGGTTTTCCTCTTCGGTGGTATCCCTTTCACACCCGTGCCGCCCCCTGCCCCTGCCGCCCCCCCCCCCCCCCACCTCCCCGCAACCCACGCCGCGCGCGAGCTCGAGCAATGTTAGAGTAGTCTTCTTTACATACTTACCTCTCCATCACTTGCAGCTTGGTCCACACACCAATGTCTCTTCTTCCTCTCATACCTCCAAACCCAGCTTCATAGGAACATGCGAAAAGCACTGTGTATTTCATCACTTCTCACCGCGCACGAAGTCATGAGCGTCCTGACCGAAGTGCTTCTCAGACTAAGACTCCAAGATGCAACCCCGCAGGAAACGAGGTAGAACGGATCTGTCGAGAGAGCATTTGTACCCAGGGCACGCAGACGATGGAGGACCTGCCGTGATAACGATCTCGGACGATGACGAGGAAGTAGTTGACAAGGAAAAGGAAGCTCTGATACAGGAGCTAAATCAGACCAGAGAGGCCATGAAAACTGAAATGCAGAAAGCCAAAGATCTTGATTCCAAGTGCACCAAACTTCAAGAGCAGCTGGTTCAAAATAGAAAGAGACCTGAACAAGACCTCCGAGGAAATCATCAAGACATGGAAAAACAAACTAGATTGCTGCAGGCAAAGCTTCGTGAAAACGAAAGACTCAAGACTGAGGTCGAAAACATGAGAACAGAACTTGGCGAAACACAGAGACAGATTTTCGACGAGCAGAAGCAGCGCAAAGCCGCTGAGGAAGCCCGCGTGGCTGCTGAGAGCAAATGCTCGGAGGTGATGAAGAACAGCAAAAGCCTCGAGGCCAGTCTTGGGCAAGAGCGGAAGAGACGCGAGGAGCTGGAGGCTCGAGCTGCATCCCAGCAGGAAGAAATGGATGTCCTTCGCGAGCAGGTTCAGGAGGAGCAGACGAAGCGGAAAGGCACAAACTCGAAGTTACAGAAATTGAAGAAGCAGCACCAAGAAGAGGTCGAGGCGAAAGAGGGTCTTGAGGCCAGTCTTGGGCAAGAGCGGAAGAAACGCGAGGAGCTGGAGGCCCGAGCTGCATCCCAGCAGAAAAGCTTGCATGATCTACACGGGCAGATTGACAAGGAGCAGAAGCAGCGCAAAGCCGCTGAGGAAGCCCGCGTGGCTGCTGAGAGCAAATGCTCGGAGGTGATGAAGAACAGCAAAAGCCTCGAGGCCAGTCTTGGGCAAGAGCGGAAGAGACGCGAGGAGCTGGAGGCCCGAGCTGCATCCCAGCAGGAAGAAATGGATGTCCTTCGCGAGCAGGTTCAGGAGGAGCAGACGAAGCGGAAAGGCACAAACTCGAAGTTACAGAAATTGAAGAAGCAGCACCAAGAAGAGGTCGAGGCGAAAGAGGGTCTTGAGGCCAGTCTTGGGCAAGAGCGGAAGAAACGCGAGGAGCTGGAGGCCCGAGCTGCATCCCAGCAGAAAAGCTTGCATGATCTACACGGGCAGATTGACAAGGAGCAGAAGCAGCGCAAAGCCGCTGAGGAAGCCCGCGTGGCTGCTGAGAGCAAATGCTCGGAGGTGATGAAGAACAGCAAAAGCCTCGAGGCCAGTCTTGGGCAAGAGCGGAAGAGACGCGAGGAGCTGGAGGCTCGAGCTGCATCCCAGGAGGTGAGCTTCCAACAACAGCTGGGAAAGGTACAGACTGAACTCCAAACTACGCTCAAAAGTCATCAGGAGATAGATGAAATGATGAAGGGACTGCAGAAAAGACTTGTAGCGGAGCAAGCAGAGGTCGAGAGCCTCCAGGCTTCAGATCGAACCAATGTTCAAAAGATTGAAGAGCTGCGCAAAAGTCTTGCGTCGGAAAAGCAGCTGCAGGCTGATGCCCAGCAAGCACGGAAATCAGCGGAAATGAACTTCAGTACTCTCCAGGCTGACATGCAAAATGCAAAACACCAGCATCAAGCAGAGGTCCAAGCCAAGCAACAAGAGCTCGACCAGCTGCGTGAAGAACTGAACAGCTTGAAAGAAAGCCTGTCAGATGTAAAGAAGGACACGCAACGATGCAGTCCCCAACCAGTCATCACCAGTCACACCTCTGACCCCCGACTGTTGACCCACCAGGCAGCTGCGCGAGATCCTGCGAGCTGCATCTTCAATGAGCTGTACGCGAGCTTCAAGGGCAAGCCAGGCAAACACTCGGACCCTCACTACCGCAATCAGCTGCCGTATGATGACGCCTTCGAGATCAAAGACAGCTTGTTTGCACTCTGTGACGGAGTAGGAGAGGGAGGCTTTTGGTCTGGGATCCTCGCGAGGGAGCTTGCGCGAGAGATGACAAGGACTACCGACATGGACGCCAATCTCTTCGAAAAACTTTATTACTGCATCGACAAGATCCACAAATCTCATATCTTGTCCGGTCAACATGTCAAAAAGCGACCGTCGTCCACCATGGTAGCGCTCAAGATCAAGCCGGGGAAATGCAACGACGAGATCAAGATCGATGCTCTCGAGCTGGGCGACAGCCAGTGGGCGCTGCTGACCGTCATTGCTTCTGAACGCAGGTAAGAGAGAGAGTTTGTGTGGGCTGGAGACTTGACAGCAAGCCGTCGGTCACTGACCTGCCTGTACAGGGTTCGCTGCAACTACCTGTCGCCCCCTCACTTCCATTCTCCGCGGGACCACGGCGAGAGACCTCCGTACCAGGCGGGGATGGACCAAGGGCACATGCGGCAGTACAGAGACAGGAAGAACGAGATCTTGCAGCGGAGGTATGCGCGATCAGGCGACATCGTCGTGGCAGGAAGCGATGGCTTCTGGGAGAACCTGGGCTCAGATGACAGAGGAAGGAGTCGAGCCCTGGAGGAGATATCGAATGAGTTACTCAAGAATTGGAATATTGCGAAAGTGGAGGAGGCATTCTGGCATTGTGGCTTCGTCCAACAGCTTGGAAGAAGATTGCAGGAGAGGACGTGGAAGAGCATGCATGGCTCGAGCGGAAAGAAGGACGATCTGACTCTGGTCGTGTCTCGCATGTCTCGAGTGCAGCAAATGAGAGGTGTCGACGTCCGCATGGAGGGTCTTGTCAATCTTGACAGGGTGAAACAAGGGCATGATTTGTTTCAAACGGCACAAGTCCCTTCAAAATAGGACCTAGAGACTGAAACCTTCATGAACTTTGTGGACAGTGCATTTGCCGTGAACAGTCCGGATGCAATTTAGGTGAACTTGCACAAGTTCCGAGTCGCCAGGAGTCCGGGTCTGACAGCATTGGATGATATAGATGGCAGGCGGCCCCCGCATTCTGATCTCTGCTGGTGCGGACTATTCTCTGACTTCATGGTTTCAAGGCTGCTGAACTTCACTAGCTGGGGTACATGATATATGAACATAACAACTTGCGATTGAACAACTTGAAATTCTACAAACATGCAACGAAGATGTCATAAGTTCCAGAAATTCTGCATACTCACAGTCAGCGAGGCTTGAAGAGTGCAGAGACTAAAGAGAGCCTGGCACCTTGAGCTGCTTCATAGTCAGGGGCGACTCCGTGAGCTCTCGAAAGCGATTCCTCTCCCTCTTTGACTCTGGGCTGCTCCTCGGCTGTAGACAAGGGATGTCAGCGGTGGCTTGCTGCTTGCCCGTAGCCTCTCACCCCTTCCCCCGGCAGAGCGCCGACTTCACAATTATCTGCAAAGACTTTGAGGAAACACAAGGAGGATGGAGAGGGAGGATGGAGGGGAGGGCGGGGGGCTGGAATTCGTTCACCTCGAGGAGACGATAGTTGCTTCCCAGGCTCTGCTTCATCATACATGGCCGTGGTTGACAGTTTCTGAGTCTTGAGGATCTCAACAAGCGCTTGTCTTTCTTCCTTCAAGGTTCTTATGTCTGCCTCGGCTCGGCTCAGCGCCCTCTCCCTCCTCCCAAGCTGCTTCTCAGCTGCTTCAGCTCGTTGGTGCAGGGCTGCCATGTGCATCTCGACGTCTTCAGCAGCAGCTGGCAGCCTCTGAGCTCGCAGAGCAACCACTTCCTCCTCCAACTTGCGCATGCGGGCTTCCGCTTCAACCCTCCCTCGTTCTGCTGCTTCTGCTCGCGCTTCGGCCTCCATCCTCCCCTTGATCGCCGCGTCCTTGCTCTGGACGCACGACGCCACCTCCTGCTCGAGAGCCTCACATCGTTTCTGCCATTGCCCGATGCTCGCCTCCGCTGCCACAAGTTTCTGAGCCCACCAAGGCCATCAGACAATCGTCGGAAGAGGAGATTAGTCACCTGAATGAGGGAAGCCACGTTGCCGCCGATGCTCCCGGAGTTGGTCAGGCTCCGCTCCGCTGGCAGATGGTAACTGCTAGATGCATGCTGCGAGCTCCTCCAGTGCTCCTCGTCAGCAGCATGGAACCGCTGCTGCAGCTCCGCGTAAGGGCGGTGAGGGTCGAAAGGGAACCGGACGACTCGAGCATCGTGATCTAGAGCGCAGACTGTCGCCGCGCCCATCGCCACCGCCCTGTCAATGTCGAGGGTCTTCTTAACAGAGCAGTCCTTGAAGTTGTTTGCGATGTTGTGCACAATTTCTTGAATCCGGGGGATCCTTGTCAGGCCCCCCAGCAACACAATCTCATCAGGTCCATGCCCCCCCCCAGCCCCCATGATCTCTTGCTCAAGGTCGACCACAGCATCGAAGACGTAGGAGCACTCCCGCTCGAAGTCTTCAAGGGTGAGCATGAGAGCAAGATCCTTCCCGTCCACGGCGCTGTCAACCTCTATCATGGCCTGTTGAGATCATCCGTTAGCCCTCCCTCCCTCCCCTTGATCCCGCTCACCTCCTCCGCCACAGTCAGGATCTTAACAGCACTCCTCACTTCCTTGCGGAGCTTGAAGATGGCAGGCTTGCAAGTGACCAGGCTCTCCTGGAATGGCTTGCGCTTCTCACACCTGCACTCGCACTCAGAGCAGATCTCGATGCCCACAACTCCCACCACAGAATGATCCTATTGACCAGCTCGTCCCCTCCCACAAACACGTTGGTCCGCGCTGCCCTCTCTACAAGCGTGAAGCCACGATCCCCCTTAACCACCTCAAAGTGCGAGATCGTCAGCTTGCTCGAGCCGAAATCCACAATCTGAAAGCTCAGGGGGTCGACGACGTTGCTACAGACATGCTGGACAGCTGCAGCGAGGTTCTCGTTCATGACCTTGACCTGCACGCCCTTCCCGAGGTATTTCTTCACCGCATCTTCTGCCGCACTCTGTACGACTCTCCTCTGAGATGCTGAGAAGCATTCCGGAACGGAGACTCCAAAGTGCCTCCACACCGTCGGCCTCCCGTCGGTTGTCTCAAGAGCCCCACCAGCCTTGATGGCGTCCAGGAGGTTTGAGCACACGGCAGACATCAAGTTGGTGATCACTGTCGTGACAGGGATGAAGCCATCGGTTGTCTTGTACATACAACATTCGAACTCCACGTCGCCACTGAGCTCATTGACCGCCTTCCTCTCCTTGTCCACTAGCTCCACGTCGAAGTGCCACAAATCCTTCAGCATCGACGCCAACTGCCTCGCGTTACCGTCCATGCAGTACAGGAGCTTTCTGTGTGCACAGAGTACATCCTTGCACCTCTTCGCCGACCTTGATTCGGCTCGTTGTCCAACCAGAATCTCCTCACCCAACTCTCCCACTCCCCTCTTCCCGCAGTTCACAGCGATGGAGGAGGAGAGAGTCTTCGATCCTAATAGCTCCAGAGGGAGGGAAACGTTCTTCTCATGGTCGTATACTGCTACCACACACTTCTCCGACCCCATGTCCACTCCCACGCTCAGCTCCCGCCCCTCCATGCCCTCTCCTCCCGATCCCACCATCTTCCAGCCCCGACCCCAACACGCCTGCAAAATGTAACGGACGTCTAAAACTTGTTTTTAAATGTCCTCGCAGTTTTCAAATTAATCAATCGAAGTTTTAGAAATATCAAAACATTATTTGAAAATTCTACAAAGCTCCCGTTATTTCACGGTTACAAAGTTGTGGGTCCGCCTCACTGTTAATGTGTTGAGTGAAAATACGACCCGCCATGAACTCAAGGGACGGAGCAGTCGCAAGAGGAGGCGGAGAAGGAGGAGGAGGAGGAGGAGGAGGAGATGGTAGAGGAGCGATTCATAAGGACGATTATTTGTCATGAGTTCTTGTAGTCGAAGTTCTTGAAGGTACAGGATAGCCGCCTTGAGTACAGAGCGTGTTTGTTGGGTTGTTGCAGGGTAGTCGGAATTCCGATAGATCGCAAACAGAAGTCATCCATGTGCATGAGCAACCGAATATGATATGGACAAAGGATTCGTGGTTATGAAATGTTCAGAAAGAACATATCCTCTGCCGGCTCAGTCACGATTTCATCTGCCTTTCCAAACCATCAGTTTGTTGAACTAATAACGTGGTCCCAAAAAGATGATGACAGGAGGAGCTGGAGCGGAGCAGAATGTGACGGCAGAGGAGAAGTCGATTGTGATGTGCATGCTATGCCCTTGATGTGTGTTGACCACGAACCCTGCAGGTAGAGAAAGTCTGGCCCGAGGTGTTGAAGCAGCGACAGAAGGAGTATGTCTCTTACGAGCCAAAGACGTTCAAAGCGCAGGTGAGGGGGTCTTCATGCCCCTCTCAATTCCTCCTCATGTGACCTCCTCTAGGTTGTCGCTGGGATGAACTACTTCGTCAAGGTGATGGCCAAGACCGCGAGCGGCGAAGAGTGCTTCGTCCTCAAGATCTACAAGGTACGTCGATGAGAAGACAGAAGGCAGGAAGAGTGAGACTAGTGTTCTCCAGCCCCTCCCGCACATGGGAAGCGATCTCCAGTTATCAGGGATCAAGGAATCTTCTGCATCTGATGCCATCGAGCACTTCTAGTGCTACAAGTATCACATGGGCACTGCGGCAACCCAGTTTCGTTTCAACGGTAACCATCAGGATCGATGTCCCAAACAAGTCCCTTATCTCAAAGCTGAATGAACTTTGAACCATCTGCTAAATATCTCGTCTGTTTCTTCTCGATGTGCAATGAAAGCGCTACTCCAATCATTGCGGCACTCATCAGGATCCCGGCCGGGCATAATTTCCCACCGTACTCCCGGAGCCGCTCCTGCGAGCAGTACGGTGCCTGGGCCCACCGGCCCGGCCGCATGTCCCTGGGCCGGGCCCACTGATGACTCAGTCAGTCCGCTGGCTCAGCGGGCCTGTCCGTCCGATCGGATCATGATCGGAGCCTGGGAGGGCCGCGGCCGCCCGGCCGCGCGCCCGGCTGATGATGATCCAACTCCAACCTCTGCGGCGCCCGACCTGCACAGCTAGCGGTGATGGCGATGGAGAAAGGTGGAAGGGAACGACTGCGGCTGCTGGTGATGGGAGACTCGGGTAAGAGCAAGAGGAGGAGGAGGGAGAAAGATACGGGGAGAGGAGGGAGAAGAAGAGAAGAACAGAGAATGGAGGAGGGAAGGGGGAGGAAGGAGGAAGGAGCCGGGAGGAAGGAGGAAGCGAGGATGAAAGGAGAGGAGCACAGATATTGGAAGGAAAGAGGGAGGGGAAAGAAGCAGAGGGATGGATAGGGGGTGAGGGGGAGGGGGAGGGGGAGACAACGATAACGATTGAAGGAGCGAGATAAATGTGTGGATGAAGATGGGAAGATCGGGGAGTTGGTGGACATACACTGGGCTAACCGCCCGCCAGGAGTGGGCAAGACATCGTTGATGCACCTGATCTGCGAAGGGGAGGAATTGAGAAGGCCTCGGTCAACAGTGGGATGTACCGTCCACATGAAGGTACGCTCCATGGTGCCTCTGCCTCCCCGCCATGATCCTCTCCTCTCCTCCACAGCTCCATGAATCGAAGCTGTTGCCGGGGAAGACTGCCTTCGTTGAGTTCTGGGATCTTGGGGGGTCTGCTCGGTTTCAGGTGCAGGAGGAGGAGGAGGAGGAGGAGTTTTGGGGGGTGGGGGAAGTGACAAGTCGCTTCAGACTAGCAGACAGGTGTTCTACTCTAACGCTGTGGATGGCGTCATTCTTGTCCATGACGTCACCAACTCGATATCCCGAAGGTTCGACCCTCACACGTCTACTCTGGTTGACTGGCAACTCGGCAGGAACCTGGAGAAATGGAAGCAGGAATGGACGCAGCATGCGTCGGGAGCAGGCGGTGCAGGGAGCTGGGATCGGACGTGGGGAGATGATGTCATGGGGTCACCGGACTTCAAACGGTCGACCATACAGCGAGCACCGAGCTTGTTCGTTCCAACGCTCACGGTGCTGGTGTGCTGTTTGTTGCCGTCCCTTGTAACATCCTCCTCCGACAGATCGGGAACAAGATCGACCTGCAGGGTTCCAAGCAGATGATGTCGGAGGAGATGGAGGCTGGAGACTACCAGGAGATCAGCACGTGCGCGAACAGGTTGTGTGTGGCGGTCCAGAAGGCTCTGAGTGACCGCCATGGCTGCAGGTCATCTGGCACTCAAGACTACGAAAGCCTCGTCCTCCGCATCGACTCGTTCATCGACAAGTACGGCAGCTCCTTGCCCCATCACCCGCCCGATGTGACAGGCGTGCAGGGTTCTTGAGGCTAAGGTTCAGAGCGGGTACGCGAGCAAGGGATCGTCGATGGTCAACTCTGGTGAGAGAGGATCAGTCAGGGGTCGGTGAAGGAGTTGACGTCGGGGCTGCAGTGAACTCTCCCATGTCACTAGAGTACCGCAAGAGCACTTTCGACAAGGACAAGTAGCCTTGCAAGCATAGTGTACTGCACGTCATACACCTAGCTGCTACAGTTCAAACCTCATGGATTTACCGTCTACGGGGCATCGGTCGTCCCCTTCCTCGCATCCTCCTTCCGCCGCCACCTCTTCCTCCTCCTCCCTGCTCCTCTGCTTGGGGATTCTTGATGGTCTCGTCCACGCTGAGGATGAGACACGCTGCCTCTGTGGCGGCTCCGATGGCAGACAACTTGACCTGGAGGACAGGTCAGAAGGGTGAGAGCAGCAGCGAGTGAGAGGACCTGGAGGGGCTCCCACACAAACTTCTCGTAGCAGTCGCAGATGCCGTCGTTGTCCACGTCCACCCCAAACCAACGGCCTTGTTCCCCTGCCGCTACGTGCTTCTGACGGAGACGGTTGAGGATGTCGGTCGAGTCGAAGCCTGCGTTGTCGGAGAGCTGCCGGGGGATGACCTCGAAGGCCTTGGCGTAGCTGTTGATGACTAGCTGTGCCTTGCCGTAGATCTGCCTCGCATGCATCCTCAAGAACTTGGAGAGCTCCATCTCGATCGCTCCTCCTCCCGGAACAATCTTGGAGTTCTTCAGTGCTCTCCTCACGATCATAACCGAGTCGTGGATAGATCTCTCTGTCTCCGCGATAAATTGCTCCGCACCACCGCGGAGAACGATTGTAGTCGTCTTCCCCTCAGGACAGTCGGAGAAGATGTTGTACCTCTCATCTCCGATCTGGACCTCCTCGAACTTCCCACAGCTTCCAATGACATCTGGGCTCAGATTGTGAATGGACGTCTGGACTGCACCACCGCAGGCCTTGACGACTCTGCGCATGTCCTCGTCCGGCACCCTTCCAGCACAGAAGATGTTCCTGTCTGCGAAGTACTGCGTCGCGAGATCCCCGATGGCAAGACGGGAGAGGACAACCTTGGCTCCACTCTTGACAATCTTGTCCAGCTTCTCATAAATGATATTCCACTCTGCATCCACGATAGATTGATACTGCTCGGGATCAGTCAGACGAATCTCCGCGTTCTCCTTCTCAGACTTGAGCTCTAGCTCGACATTCAGCATGCAGACTTTGGGGTGGTCAAATATCTTGGGCTGCTGCTCGAATCCTGCGTATGAGAATGTCTTCTTGAACGCGACACCCTTGACAAGGAAGGAATCCTGCGAAGCTGTTCAGGTTCGACAACACGAGCGCCTAACTCCACCTCGAGGGTTCCTCCAGGAACCTTCTTGATACCAATCATGTCGAGCGGAAGATCTTCATCCAGAGAAAGCACCGCATCAACCACGATCGGAGCAAAGAAGTCCTTCTGGTGACTGATCAGTTTGGAGTTGAGGCTCGTGGCTGCACATCGGATCAAGAGATCCCTCTTCTCTCTGCACAGCCAGTCAATGGTCTCCAGTCTGCATGCACATGTTCCTCTCACTTCTCATCTTGACGAGAAATGTCAATGGACCACTCCTTGAGCTTCTCGATCGCCTACAAACAAAGTTGCGTGTCAGCGCAGGTGTTAACCCGTTGAATTCCCAGTTTTGCTTTCACGAAGATAAAGAGAACCGAAGTGAAAGAAGCAAATAGTTTTCACCAGTCTGGACGCTTCTCTGTAGCTCTTGATGATGATCTGAGGGTGTACTCCCTCCTCCACATACTGCTTTGCCTCCTTCAAGAACTCGTTCGCCAACACAACGACACTGGTGGTTCCATCTCCAGCCTGAAACATTTCATACTCAGATCCTACGAGCACAAATTTTGTGTAATTTGTATTGCTGTTAGAACAAAGCACAATATGATCGGTCCCAGTGATCACGCATGGTAAACGCGTGGTGATACAAGATACGTGCTTCTCAAATACAACAGATGGTGACTGCAACGAAGGGGTTTGAGGTTTGACATCCATGAGCGAGCGAGAGGCAAGGGGTCAGCAGGGTCAGCATACCTCATTGTCCTGAGACTTTGCGATGTCAACCATAGTCTGGGCAGCTGGATGGATGATATCGAGTGTCTTCACAATGGTTGCACCATCGTTGGAAACAACAACTTTGTTGTCAGTGTGGATGAGCTTGTCCATTCCTCGAGGACCGAGAGTTGTTCGGACAATGTCGGCGACAGCAGCGACAGCATTTATGTTGGAGACCAGCTGAGGTTTCCCCTGCGACGTGTCCGCTCCTTCGCGCAGCAGCACGACCTGCGGCTGCATGCCCATCATGTTTCCTCCTCGCGCGGGAAGCAAACGAATTTGGGGGGGTGGGGGTACTATCTTGGGGGTGGGGATTATTTGAGGGTCAGCAATCTCATTGTTGGGTACTATTCAAGGGGGTAGTCAGGGCTTCATCTACCCCTGCTTCGAGCCCAGACCCTGCATAAAGAAGAGAGTGGGAGAGTTTACCACGGGTCCTTATAGAGAATGTGTGAGGCCAGTGGGGTGGGGGTCATCCTTCGATTTTTCCCTCCAAAACTGAATCAGTTAACTCCCTGCCCGTCGATTCCAGAGTGTAGGGGTGGGGTCAGAAATCAAGGGGTAGGGGTGAAAGATATTGTGGAGAAATAAGGTTTTACACCAGTAGAATGTAGGGTAGGGGTACCTGAAATCAGTGCAGATAGAGGGTAGGGTAGGATAGACACGGGTGGCTAGTTCCTAGTGTTCATATTTCAAAGTTTCAAAAGTTCGATAACTTAAACTCTTCGTGTCTCGCTCCCAAACTTGATAGTCACAAAGTTTCCCAACGGTTCACTCAGTAACTCAGACCACTGGGCCAGGACGGCCGGGCGGCCCGCCGGGCGGCCGATCACACTTGAACCGTGAAGCGTGAACGGCGGCCCCGACTGACGAGCCCGACGACCTGGTCACAACTTTCCAAGATGTGCCTCCTGAGTCCCGGCCCGGGGTTCAGTTTAACTGAACTTTGAGTAGATTTAAGTCACATGAAAAGTTGCAGTGCCAGCCCCACTGGCGGCGATCACGTGATAACTGTGCCACTGGGTAAAAGAGTAAGATCTGCGTCATCACCTTCGACACCTTGCATGGTGTCGAGGTACTGCCGCGGGCCCTTGCTGTGCAGCACCGCCATGGTTGCCGCTCGGCGATCGGAGCGGCCCATCTGCGTTCTCCTCTTCTCGTTCTCGTCGACAATGATCTTATGACCGCTTCGTCTGTCGATCATCATGATCGGTGAAGTAGTCAACTGTCTGTAAGTGGGGATACGATTAGGGCGAGGACGAGAAGTGCGAGGGTAAGAAGCGAAGTACAAGTCGAGGAGCTGTGGAACAGATCAGTTCATGTTACAAGATATTTTTATCATCTCACACCTCATCTTAACAAGATACTTTATCATCTCACACCTCATCTTAACAAGATACTTTATCATCTCACACCTCATCTTAACAAGATACTTTATCATCTCACACCTTCTCTTCACTTCTCACTCATTCAACAGCTTGATCTCAGCTCGCACTCTCTTCGCCTGCAGGAGCGTCAGGCCCAACCCTCCGTCTGTTTCCCGTCGGCAGAAATCTTCGTCAGTGAGCAGCAACAAAGTCTTTCCATCGACGCTGTTTGCTTCAACTGCTGCTGCCGCATCTCGAAGCCCGCACTGCAGAAACAGAGCGGCGACGTCCTTCACGCTCAGAGCATATGCTCCTTGCCCTGTATCTTCGACGCTGCCCCCCATAGCAAGTGTAAACGCAGAGGACAGCTCTTGCCGAAACTCTGCCGAATCCCTGTGCCTCCTCCTCGAGTCCTTCTGCGTCGCTCTCCTCAAGACGCGCTGCAGCCGGGGAGGAACAGAAACGAAGTAGGGAATCGTCTCCTCCTTCACTCTGCCGATCAGAGCCTTCTTCTCCTCTACTGACTTATCCAACGACCCCAGCTCGTCTCCAGCTGGGCGCGATGATCCCTGTGGATCCTGAAGGAGAAACGGAACGTATCCCAGAAGCAGCTCGTAACCGATCAAGCCCATCGCCCAGACGTCACTCTGCACATCCCCGATGCCTGAGGTCCCGAGCAGCTGCTCAGGGCTCATGTAGAGCAACGCCGATGCTGGTTTAACCTCCAGCGCTCCTTGCGACATGTCCGGGCTTTCCTCGAACGGGCATCCGAAGTTCACCAAAGTCACGAGCTCGGTGGTGTCCTGCAGGATGACGTTGACGGTGTTGATGTTGCGATGTGCGAGGCCGAGGTCGTGTAGACAAGTGACGGCGTCGGAGAGCTGAAGCAAGACGTGCTGGCACTTGGACACGGAGCTCTGATCTTGCGCTGATCTTCGCGCTATCCACTGATCGAGGGAAATCCCCTCCACGAGCGTCATGATGACTATGAGATAGCCCTCAGCAAGCTCCCAACCTAAGAAGGGAGCCAAACTTGCATGTCGAACAGATGTCAACTTGTCAAGGACAGGTTGCACTTGCCCTCTGACTCGTTCTGATATACACTTGTAAAACTTGAGAGCACAACTGCTGTTAGCCCCCTCCTTCGTCGCAATGTACACTGATCCTCCTTGTCGTGCGCGAGCCTTTCTAAGGATGCTGAACTTGCCGTGCTCTTTGAGGTCACAGAGCCTAGGGACTTCGATGGGAGGGTCTGTTGGGCTGCAGGTCCCATGGCCTCCTAGCGCGAGCTCGCGCGATGCTGTTGGCTGGATCTCCCGCAGCCTCTGCATTTCGAGCGCGAGCTCCTTCAACGAGAGCCGAAAGGTATCGAGAGACTGAGACAGATGCTGCGAGTCGCTACTCCCCTCCTTTCGCTCGTTGTAGATAGAGGAGATGCGGTTCCTCAGGCTCGTTCCCTCCGACGACAGCAAACTACCGATCAAGCTCTCCAAAGCGTCCTTGGCCTCCGTCCACTTCGATCGGAATTCGTCGTGATCCATGGAGAGGTCCTTGAAGCTAGCGGAATGAACAAACTCGTCCCTCTGATCTCTCAGTGACTCCACTGCTCGTTCCAAGCTCGACGAGTCCATGTAGCCAGGATTGTTCACCAGAAGAGCTGAGAGCAGCGTGATGTCCCAGCTATCCATTTCGTCTTCCTTCAGCCGCTCAAGCATGGCTTTGCCCAATCTACTTCGCTGGTAGTCATTCATCCGAGAGGCTATCTCTCGCCCCGTCCTGTGGTTCCAGTTCTTGCCTGTTCTCGACTTGTAACACTTTCTCAGCACCTTCACCAAGACTTCAGTTCCCAGGCCCAGCATCAGTTTCATGTAGCGGCTGAAGTTGTCCTGCGGCGTGAAGGCTTCTACAAGAACCGGCGGGTCGGGATCATTCTTCCAGTCTATCACCGCACCTCCTTTCGTTTCGTTCTTGAGCGAGCAGCCTTCGATGATGCAAGAGGAGGGGACAACGATCTCGAGCCCCTTCCCCTCGGCCACGATCGGTCTGAAGCACTTCTCGATCGTGCAGGTGTCCAAGCGGATTTTTTGTGCATTGAAAGGTTGATTCCAAAAGACGCGAACAGCTGATTCCTTGCAGTCTTTGATGGTTGTCTCAGATACCTTGAAGGTTGCCCCAGAAGCATGGATACCAACGTTGCAGCCTGAAATGTTCAAGTTCATAAAGTTTGCCTTACACTGATCATTGGCCGCAACACCGATCATTGCACATTTTTCTATCGTTGAATTCTTCACGATAATTTCCTCAGCGCATGAACTTAAGACGATACCATGCCTCCCACAAGGTCCAACCCTGCAGCCGTCTACTTGAAGCCCATGGCAACCAGTATCGTTGATGCAGACTGCGGAGCCGTTGGGGCATCTGACTTCTACGTTCTTCATTGTCAAAGAACCTGACGCCAGCAACACTCCACAACAGCCACCCGAGGTAAACGGGGAGTTCTTACTCAGAGATGAAAGAGCCATGATGGAGAGAGAGTCAAGAACAACTCCAGGAGCAGAGATTCTCAGGGCAGCAGACCCGACAGATACCAACTTGGGTATTCCCAAGGTAGCACGCGCTCCCACAATACTGCAAGGCTTTGTGATCTCTAGAGTAGCAAGAAAGTATTGAGACAACTCAGAGTTCTGGATGATGACAGTGTCGTGGGCTTGCAGCATCTCCAGCGCTAGAGACAAGGTAGGAAACTCTACCTCAACTGAAGCTCCTGACTCTGAAGGTTTTACCTCCCCTGCCTTGGCATAATGCAGCACATCTGACCCTTCGAACAGGACCGGAACTCCTCGAGGACCTTCCTTTCCCACCTTCTTTCCTGCCCTCCACTCGCCTGTCACCGTGTCTAGCACATCAATGCCTGCAGTTTGAAGAAGGCAAGCTGATAGGGCGGGACGAGGAGGGCAGGGCTTGCAGTCGAAGGCGACCATGGCGCCATGACTGGAGGTGATGGTAGCAAAGGGAAACGACATGTCAGGATCTAGATCCATTCTTCCTATCTCGATCCCATTCCTGACAAAGTAGATCGCACTGGCCTCATTCGTCAAGCTCAGTATGCCGCATCCTATCCTGTCTCCCGCCATGCATTTTGGTCCGAAGTCAATGTGATCGGATGAAAACATGTCCTTCGTGCAATAGTGCAACTTGCCGTCGTGGCTGTGAAAGCCGATAGATCCCAGCTGCTTCCCCACCATAGACCCAGTAATGAAGGTCCTACAAGAAACCCCAACAGCAATACCGAGATTGTGGTCTGCGTCTTTCAATAGAAACACTTCGAAGTATGGATACTCTCTGCTCAAAGGATAGCTTGCTTTCACAACTCCCATCTTGTTTGTTGATCCGCCTTCAAACTTGATCTTGCCCTGATCAAACTGCACATGCTCTACCTGCGCGAACCTTGGGTCTTGCGGTTTCGACGGAAACAATGGCGCAGGAGGAAACGCCGGAGTTGCTTCTCCAATCATTGAACCATTCACAGCAGCAAAACCAGAGTTGTTACCAAATCCAAATGGACATGGTTCATCGGTCCTGCCTGCTGGGCTCGGGTTCCCCGGCTCAAGGAAACAACGTTTGAGCAAGTAATCCCCGACTCTGAGTTCTTCAAAAGAGCTCCCCGAGTATACAGCCATGTGCGTAATCGAAAGATACAACCCTCGTGTACTCGCAGAGGTGGTACCTGTACCATCAGGCCCTTGACTAGCTTCATACTTGCAGATCCGGGTGTCCTGAGTGCCACATGACTTTCCATCCCCAACGTCTGACCCGCTGCTCGTCTGCCCGAAGCCTGACAAGGCGCTGCTCGTCTGCCCGAAGCCTGACAAGGCGCTGCTCGTCTGCCCGAAGCCTGACCCGCTGCTCGATGCCGCGCTCGAGCTCAAGCTCGCTCCAGCGCTCGACGACGCCTGGCTGCCTCCTGATCCGAGCCCAGCTGCTCCGCCGAATCCTGACCCGGTGCTGCCCCCGAAGCCTGACAAGGCGCTGCTCGTCTGCCCGAAGCCTGACAAGGCGCTGCTCGTCTGCCCGAAGCCTGACAAGGCGCTGCTCGTCTGCCCGAAGCCTGACCCGCTGCTCGATGCCGCGCTCGAGCTCAAGCTCGCTCCAGCGCTCGACGACGCCTGGCTGCCTCCTGATCCGAGCCCAGCTGCTCCGCCGAATGCTGACCCGGTGCTGCCCCCGAAGCCTGACAAGGCGCTGCTCGTCTGCCCGAAGCCTGGCAAGGCGCTGCTCGTCTGCCCGAAGCCTGACAAGGCGCTGCTCGTCTGCCCGAAGCCTGGCAAGGCGCTGCTCGTCTGCCCGAAGCCTGGCAAGGCGCTGCTCGTCTGCCCGAAGCCTGACAAGGCGCTGCTCGTCTGCCCGAAGCCTGGCAAGGCGCTGCTCGTCTGCCCGAAGCCAGGCAAGGCGCTGCTTGACGCTTCAGACAATGTTGAATTTGGTTTTGAGCCACTATGTCTGGATGACGGATGTGTTGATGCTAGGTCGGGTGGTTGAACTGTGCTTGCGGTTAAGATCATATCGCAGGTCATTTCTGATTTACCGTTTCCATTCAAAGACTTCAAGGTGCTTGTTCGCCTTGCTCGAAGTATTTTTCGTGCGTTGTTCTGTGAGCTGAATTTTGCAGCGGGGAGCGTATCACAGCTGGAAATTATGTAGGCTGCAGCAAATGGTTTCGGTACGATAGAAGTTTCCCTAGCTGTACTTGTAGACTGCGATAGCTCACTAGCTGTACTTGTAGACTGCGATAGCTCACTAGCTGTACTTGTAGACTGCGATAGCTCGCTAGCTGTACTTGTAGACTGCGATAGCTCACTAGCTGTACTTGTAGACTGCGATAGCTCGCTAGCTGTACTTGTAGACTGCGATAGCTCACTAGCTGTACTTGTAGACTGCGATAGCTCACTAGCTGTACTTGTAGACTGCGATAGCTCACTAGCTGTACTTGTAGACTGCGATAGCTCACTAGCTGTACTTGTAGACTGCGATAGCTCACTAGCTGTACTTGTAGACTGCGATAGCTCACTAGCTGTACTTGTAGACTGCGATAGCTCACTAGCTGTACTTGTAGACTGCGATAGCTCACTAGCTGTACTTGTAGGCTGCGATAGCTCGCTAGCTGTACTTGTAGACTGCGATAGCTCACTAGCTGTACTTGTAGACTGCGATAGCTCACTAGCTGTACTTGTAGACTGCGATAGCTCACTAGCTGTACTTGTAGACTGCGATAGCTCACTAGCTGTACTTGTAGGCTGCGATAGCTCGCTAGCTGTACTTGTAGACTGCGATAGCTCACTAGCTGTACCTGTAGGCTGTGATTTATCCCTTTGAATCTCTTCATGTTCTGTCCGAATGGTTGTGATCGAGTTGGCAGAACCTCGTCCGCTATCTTCACTAAGAGGTCTTGTAGTCAAGGATTTGTCTTCTGCCTTCATCGAGCTGACGCTTTCAGCTTGATTGGACAAGGAAAATGCAGGACAACAAACCGAAGTGCTGGTGCTGCTGGTGCTGGTGCTGGTGCTGGTGCTGGTGCTGGTGCTGCTGGTGCTGGTGCTGGTGCTGGTGCTGGTGCTGGTGCTGGTGCTGGTGCTGGTGCTGGTGCTGCTGCTGCCTGCGATGCTGTTGCCTGCGATGCTGCTGCATGCGATGCTGTTGCTGCTGCTGCTTGTGATGCTGCTTGTGATGCTGCTTGAGGAGCTGCTTGAGGAGCTGCTTGTTGTTATGGTTCTGCTTGTCATGCCGCTGCTTGTGCTGCTGATGGTGCTGCTGCCGATACTATTGGTGCTGAAGGTGGTTGTGAAAGACATGTATTCAGGGAAGAGCTTGCATCCGGGTTCCACTTGATAAAAGTCTGAAGCCGAGAAAAAGTCTTGAAATCCCAACGACGTCATTGATCGGATGACCATTGCTTGGAGAGCACGGTCGGCTCGTTGAGGTCCATCGTAACTCTCACTGAGGGCTGCTTCATCAGGTGTACTGTAAATGCGCTTACAGCTCTTATATGAACGAGGTAGTAGCAACGTTTACCTAGATTCAACGCATGTAATCATCCCGGCTACTGCTGCATGATTCTTCGAAAGAACCTTCAAAAGGAGGAATATCAAACATTTTTCATGCTGACGTACAGAGCTCAATTACCTTTGCGATGACTTCTGAATTGGTTTTACCGAAATAGTAAAGCATCTGCAACTGGTCGTCAGAAGTTGTTGGTCGGCGAACTCTCACGAGGTATCGATGTCACTTACAATACTATCGACCATATGCTTGCTTCGAAACTTCTGGCCTCCAGGAGAAAACTGCATGCAAACCCTTAAGGGTTGTTGTGCGTGCCGAAAAGGTACCTCAACAACTCCCTTTACGACATCGCTTGCACTTGGGTGTACCGTCACTGCATGATACTGTGTTCTCCCGAACACATTTCGAACTTCATCAATCGCATTGAGAAAAAACAAGAAGGATATCTCTTGTTGATTGCAGTGGTCAGAAGCGATCAGCAGTGTGCTAGAAACTCTCTTCATGTCATACATGAGTTGAACGTCCTTCGTCCAAGGATCAAGGGACATACAACTGCAAAGTCCTTCTATCGCAGGTAGAGCAACGTAGCCGTTCCATTGCCTTGTGCTCACAGGTAGACCTGCACCACTCTTCCTCGAGGAAAGACTGACGGTGAGGACTATACACGGAGAAATGTGGTCTCCTCCATCAAGAATATCTGACAGACCCTCCATCTTCACCTGGATTTGTGAACAAGAGCCGGCTAAGCGTGTTCTTCTTCCGAAGTTCATTCTTTCTTTTGTCACTCTGCTTCTCTGATCTCTGTCTTCCCCTCCGCCTCCTCACTGCATCGCTCTCAGCACAAACCTGTGCGCTCTCTCCCAGCTCAACAAACCTTTTACTCAACTCGGCGACCCTTAACTAACCGTCTCCGGGCCCGGGCCGGGCAGCCGGGTCAGCTAAAGTTTGGGAATCCTTGACTCGTACTGATTTATAACTCTCTTCTTTGAGTAAAGGAATTCTACCTTGACTCGTACTGATTTATAACTCTCTTCTTTGAGTAAAGGAATTCTACCTTGACTCGTACTGATTTTAACCTGATTGTCCTCGTACTGATTTTAAACTTAACTTTGAGTAACGAAGATATTAACTTGTCGGCACCCAATCCTCCTCTCCTCTGCTCTTGTCAGAGTCTTCGCCGCCTCGGAGGCTCTCAGGTTCTCACGCTCATCCTTCTCACCCATCTAAGCCCTGTGGACGTGAATCATAGCTTCCCATCCTTGATTCTTCAGGAAGATACTTCGCTTCGCTGTCTTGCAACTCCCTCCTCCGTCCTCTAAAATCGAAACCATTCAGACTTCTAAGTTCTTCAAATAGTAAATTCTCCTCAAGTTGAGATCCTCATTTCCAGTGTTTCAGCTTCTTATTGTTTTGATGATCGTTCGAGGCAACATGTCCAATCTGATACACTTCTAGGAGATCAAGCTGGGCGTGGCCTTCAAGGGAGATGAATCTCAGTCTCTTTGCTTAGGATGGATATTCCTGAGGTCAACGGTTTACATCGGCTAACCATAATGACCAACGGTTGAACCTGTCATCGTTGCCTCGTCAGGATTGCAAGCCAGTTGCACTCAGCGTCGACACAGGGAAATCAACACAAATGTTGATGTATCAGTATGGTATGAATGTTGGTTCGGGGCGGAGACACATGTGACAAATCGATTCTGTGCGAGTCATTCGTTTGCAATCAAGCGTCAACGATAGTGCAAGTCATCAGACACGGTGGTGTCGCCTTGCCATATATGGGCGATGCAATAATCAAACCATTCACTTCTTAGGTATCATTTTCACTTCTGGCGTTCAGTCTTTCAACCCCGACATTCCCGCTTCACACGGATCCTGCTGTTGTCCTCGACTCACGTCGCCTCACCTTCACCGTTCCCATGTGGCCGAGAGAGTCTGGCGAAGTCAGTCTGACACTGCGCAAGGATGGGTACCGCGGCAGCGTGCTCGGAGCATGTGAGCTGTGGCCTGGTAGAGGGTCTCGGCCTGGAAGACCTGCGTGAGGGCCTGCCGAGCTTCTGTGCCGTGTAGATGCTCTCGTTCTGCTTCATGAGGCCCTGGATGCTCTGCCGCACATCGAGCAGCGGCTTGCTCTCCAGCCAGTGGATCATGGCGTGAAGGTTCTGGATCACCGTGTCCTTCCGCTGGATATCCCCTCAGCGTGGCGCAGTGCTGTTGCCGTGGTCCACGAGGTTCTGCGTGACGTCGAGGACTAATCGTACTGCAGCTTCTGCCGCGTCTCGTCGAGCTTCGCCTGATGCCCTACGCCGAGGGGTCCTGCTGCGGGAAGCCCTCGAGGCAGTGGCAGCAGCGCGCCGTTAGGGCCGTGATGACGGAAGAAAGCAGGCTGGGGACCTTGGTCTTGATCCTCTGCGACTCTGCCTTGACCGCCTTGTACTTGGACGGCGCGTGGAACAGCCTCCCCCGCGCTCGGGCATTCTGGGACGACGCACGACTTGCAGAACCGGCAGCAGGTAAACCATGCATCGCCCGCCTTGCACAACTTAAGTTCCGGAACTTAAGATGTGCAAGGCGGATGCCGTCCTTGTCGAGGTTTGGGTTGCTCTGGTATGGGGAGACCTGAGCTGCTGAATGCCAGCTGCCGGTCCTCAGTCGATCATCCCCGGCCGCCGCGGTCCCCGGCGGCGGCCCGGGCCGGCGACGCCCGCCGGGGGGCCGGCGCCCGGCCGTCACGTCAACGTTACACTACTGAAGTGGGCACCAAGTCCGATCCGACTGATCGCCCGCGGCCACAATGCAGAAGCCAAGTTCTAACCGTCACGTCGCCGCCGAAGTTTCCCCGAATGTTCGGGCCGCAATCAGTGCGATGGATCGCACACCGAGCGGCTCGCCCCGAGTTAACCGTTGACAAAGTCAGGGCCTGCAAACCAAGACGCCGGGACTCGTCCCATGTCTGGATGCTTGGCCCAGTGGGGGTTCAAGGCAGCATCCTAGCGCCGCCGCTACCTGAGGGCCCAGTAACGCCGGGTACCGTACCGTACGGCGGCGTGACTCTGTGACGGGCTTTATCCTGGGTTTATCAGGGCCCGCCCCGGCGGGCTGCCGCGCGGGGCCGATCGGGTCGGGGCGGGCCCGGTGACCGGTGCGGGGGGGGGGGAGGGGGACCAGGAGGGGGCGGTTCAGAGGGAGTTGGGGTAGGTCCTTCAAGATTTGGGGAATATCTATAATTAGTTTTAAAGTGGCTGCCGTCTGCTTCAACTCGCAGGGGTGGGGTGAAATCGTGTTTGTCCATGACCGGTCCATAGATTGCCTCAGTGGACTCCGAGATACCCGTAGTCATACCATCAAAATTCTTCGGAGACGGTGGGGTCCTTCGGTCCGGCTATTCCCCCTCCGCCGCCCCCTAGGACCCTTGATAAGACCTTTCTATCCCTAGGGAGCACTACCACCCTACCCATTCTACGGCAATCAAAGGCAGTGTCAAGGGGTGCTTCGCCCTCCTACATTGCAAGCAGGCAGCAGCAACCATTGCAGCTCGAGCTGATCCGGCAGCAGCATCTCGTCTGTCACAAACCCTTCTCCTCCTCTTTCGCACCATTCTGAGAACCTTTCTTCTCTTCTGCTGCTTGACTTTGAGTGACGCGAGTTACTCTGGCTGCTCCTCAGTTTCACCTCCTTCCTCGTTCTAGTCTTCCTGCACAACCCACTCTTCGTCTGCTCTGAAAGCTAAGGAGGACTTGACCCCCGACATGGAGGGATCACATGTCAAAGAAGAACAGCTTGAGCTCGTGGACGTGATTCATGTTGAAGGCATGGGCAATGGCGTCTTTGCTCGCAAGCACTTCAGCGAAGGCGATGTGGTCATGAGCGAGAGGCCGAGTGTTGTTCTTGAACTTTCATATGCAAAGGACGAACTTGCAAAGAAGGTGAACAACTTTCTGCGAAGAAGTGCGTGTGAAGAAGCGAAGCTCTCTTGCGCTTTTCAATGGACTTTGTGGCTGTGCCATTTCTTTCAGCTTCCAGAGGCACTTCGCAACCGGATCGAAACGGAGGTTTACTCCCCGAGGGAAGACGACGGAGTAGCGGGGGTGATTCAGAGTGAAACTTTCAGTGACGCCGATAAGTTCTCGCACTTCCTGTCAGACTTCTGCTCCTCCTCTTTCACAGCTCTCATGGACCTGCCGGAGCTCGAAGCAGTGCTGGATGTTGACGCAGCTCGTCTGAAGAGGCTGATGCTGCTCTACATCTGCAACTTCCACCAGTACCAGGGCAAGGCAGCGCTGTTTCTCAAGTGCTGCAAGCTAAACCACTCGTGCCGCGATGCCAACACCAAGTACGTGGTGGACTGCTCTGGTCTTGCCTTACATGTAGCGTTGAGGGACATCAGTCCAGGGGAGCAGATCTTGACGGACTACCTGCAGGGAATCCCCTTCATGTCCACCCACGAGAGGAGGAAGAAGCTGCTCGAGACGAAGCTGTTCACATGCATGTGCTCCGCATGTCTGAGCGAGGACGACCTAAGGCTGCTGCCGTGCACGAGCAGGGGCGATGAAGGGGAGGCGTGTCAAGGGTCCTGCTCTTGTAGAGATGGGAGGTGGATGTGCAAAGAGTGCGGGCGAGAGGAAGAAGTGGAGACGTTTCTCTCGCAGCAGTTCCTCAGGTTGTGCGGGCTGGGACTGGCGGAGGCGTCGAACAAGTCGAGAGCAGAGATGGCCGAGGAATTCCTCAAGGTGGAGGAGAGGATGGTGAAGGAAAGCTACAGCAAAATCTTCTGGTCGGTTGAGGAGATGGGAAAGAAGCATGCTCACTTCAGCAGCGCTCTTGGACGTCAGCACCCAGCAGCCCGCAGGATGGAATGGAATGTCGAGAGGACGATGGCAGAGACGTCCGTGACGGTCGGAGGATGAACGAGGTAAGGGGAGGAGGGCGTAGATGTGTATGTGCGAGACACTTCTGCATGGAAAATTTCTGTGGTTCCGTGCCAGTCATTGCTCGCAACATGAACGCTGGGTGATTGCTGTCTCGCACTCACTGGTGCCTGACCGAGGCGATCCCGAGCGAAGAGGTTTTGTTGTTGGTGTGATTTGATTGTTGTTGATCTTCTCACTCGACACCCTTCTGACTGGAGTGTCACAGCAGTTTCAAGGTCTACAGTCATGTCTGTCATTTTTATTCTTTCTGTACAAGTTGTTTCACAGTCACTTTATAAAGTACATTGATAGTTGTGAAGTCAAAGAACAACATGCATTAAGCGTTACCCTAAAGGAAAATTTGTCGCAAAGACATCAGAAACATGATCGTGATGCAAGCTCCATGTCCTCCCCGCCTGCAACAAAGAATTATTCACATCGCCTCGACCTCGTCCTCGTCCCCTTCTTCGTCCTGATGCCCCCCGGCTCCTTCCCCCTTTCAAACCCCACCACCACCACCACCACCACCACCACCACCATCACCATCACCATCACCATCACCAGCACCACCTCCTCGACGTTTTCTTCTCATATCTCATCCTCTTCCTCATCACCTGTTTGATTCGCTTCCACTTGTAGATGTAAGGTTGGTCACGTTGAGAGCAACTTGCGTATCGCAGAGTAATCCTGTCCAACCCTGCGCTGCTGATTAGCGAGACGAGGGGGAAGAGAGGTGGAGAGGGAGAGGGAGGGGGAAAGGAAAGAGGGAGATGGGGTCAAATAAAGA